ACCTAAGGGCCCGAAACGAGCTTTTTGCATCCTACAACACTCCTTGTAAGTTCAGAGCGTATAGAGCAGGGGTTTAGGATGCAAAAGCTTCCGAACGGGAAAATCCTGTAAGGACAGCAGCTCAATCCTGCTCTCTGGTGGCTGCAGCCGAAAGGCCGAAAGCATCCAGCAGCCTCTCGCTGCAGCAAGGAATGCTCACCTGGTGCTCCCCTTGGGCTGAAAAGGATCTTTGCTCTTTATTTATTGATTTAGCTCAAGGTTCAGCTCAGAAGGCAGCTGTGCTCAAGCAGATGGAGACCACAGAAGGTTTTAGATTCCCTGCTTGAGCAGAGCATGGGTCTATCACTGGAGAGGGCCCATGGGCTCCATAAAGGGGCTGCAACCCACCACCCTTCCTTTAAAAGCCCCTCCAAATCCTTGGTATCATGGCAAGCATCCTGCTGCTCTGCACAGAGTGCTCACAATCCCTGCAACAGCCTTTCCTGCCATGTCCCAGACTGCAAACATCCTCCCCCCTCTCCCAGTGTTACATGTCCCTTGAAGGGCCACAAGGTGGGGAGCGTTTCTTCTACATTTCCTCACCCCATCCCTGCTGAGATGAATCCATGCTCCCAGGTGCAGCACAGCAGGCTCTCCCAACGCACATGGCACGAGCAGATGTGCCTTGGGAACACCATCTCTACCATCCCCACCACCACCATCAGTCTCCCAGGTCTGGGCAACGACTGCCTGCAGCCCTAGGGTTGGTTTTATAGGTTCACCACACCATGAGGCAGCATCCTACGAAGACTGGACTCACCCCTTGATATTCTGAGGAGAGTTTAACCATCTTCTCCATACTGGATTCAACCTGTAAAGTTTAAAACACAGAAATTACCCCAGTTCTTCTCTCTGTGATACACAATAAAGGAAAAGATGAGGTGAAACTTGTCCCTCCATTCACCAGCTTTACTGTCCTGTCTCTGCTCTCACCTGCTCGAGCACCAGAGCTGCTCAGTGTGTATGTAAATCTGTGGCAGTACCCACAACAGCCCCCATCTCCTGCTCTCTTCCTCTGAGCAGACAGAGTAATTACAGTGCAGCAGTGCCAGCACAAGGCATTTCTGCTGATGAATGCACTCAATCTAAGCACAGTTTTATGTATCATTAATTCCTTTAGTGTTCAAAAAAATAACTTTTTTGATGGGAGATAATACTGTAATCACTCACAATTGCCAATAAAATTATCTTCATTCAGCTGTGTAAAACAACTACATGAGTAATTTTACTCACTTAAAATTTCTTTTCCTTTTTTTTTTTCATTTATTTTTTAATGCAAAACTGTTTAGTCTCAGACTGTTTTAATACAGGCACTACTAGAAATGTCCCCACACTCCCTCATTTATACAGAAAGGAGGTTTTCAGAGGCTGAAAATAGTTGCTTAATGTGTCTTGAGCAGTCTTAGGGATCTCCCAAAGGATCCCTCCCATCCTAGGGACCCCAGTGCTACGATCTCTTCAGCCATCCCATGCTCTCCATCAAGCTAGCAGGCAGCAGCTGGCAGGTGCACAGGGAGCAAGAGAGTTTGTGCAAGGGCAGGTTGCATGTGCAGGTTGCATGTGCAATCATGGTCCTCTTCTAGGTCAGTTCCTCCTCCACTCTGTTGGGAAACACGTGAAGCACTCCCTAATCTGCTTCAGAACAGAGTCCACAAGGCTGGCACAAACCATGTGTTCAGACTGACTGTGGTAACTCAGACACTCCAGCTTGAGGCAGATTTGGGAGCTACCAGTCCTCCCACTGACAGACCTCTGCAGCACAGGCAGTGGGGAGGACAAGCATCTTCTACGGGCAGAAGTGACTACAAAGCGAGCAACAGGAGTGTCACGGAGTGAACAACTTGTTTGAAACATGCAGTCTTCTTGCAGGGGCAAAAGGGATTTTTGACCCAGGTGACACTAGGTCTTGCCCAAGCTGCTGGGCAACCTTCTCTCAGGGGTTAAACTCCAGCTCTGAGAGGAGTTGCTTCACCTTTTTGCAGATCGTGTTGAGTAATCCCACTTCAGAGTCAGGAACCTGCAAGGAGAGGAGAAATGAAGCAAGAGGGACTGTTGGTTGTTTTAAGTGTAGCTTGGATCTTCTTCCAGAGGGCTAGATCCTGGTGACTGGCAGCTGGTGGCAGGAGCAGGTTGTTAACCACTGGGAAACAGTCTAAAAGCAGTGGGGTGAAATGGAAGATGAGAAGTGTAAAATTCCTGGGTGAACAGTGAACAATTTCTGATTTCCTCTTTGGAAATAAGGGGAGTGAATGAAATTAGCTGTGGGAGGCCAACAGGAGATGTTGCTTCCCTATAGGACACAGATGAACTGTGGATCTCCCTGCTGCAGGAGGCTGTGAGTGCCAGAATTGCATTGCATCACACAAAAAATATCTGTGTGAGCAGGCAGCTATTAGTCACTCTAACCTAAACTCTGGCTTGAGAGGCCACAGCATTCCGGACACTGGGAGACAGTGCTAAGGAAAACACTGTCGTGTGTTTGCCGTGCTCTTGGCACTGCTCTGGTGTCAGGTGAACAGGAACTGGCTGGTCCTTCAGCCCGAGCCGGTCTGGCTGACCGTGTGTGGTTTGTCACAGACAGAAGAAGACGCCTTTCTGCCCCTCCTTGGGTAACTGCAGGGTTACAGCATCCCTGGGGTGTGGTGGCACCCACCCAGTCACAGCTCTGTGGACACAGGGAGGTGTGTGGGCAACAGGGAAAGACGCCTTCGTGGATCCAGCTGATCCTTTCCTCTTGTCTTAGCCACAGGCTCCAGGCCTGCCAGGCAGTGGAGGAGGAGCAGGGGTAGGATCGATCCTCTATTCCAGCACCCCAAGATTCAAGCCCCTTTCTGCAGCAGCGTATGGGAAGCCCTATGGACATAACAGCAGAAAAGTTCACTTGCTTATCTGGCAAGGACACACCAGTGTCCCAGAGGGACACCAGGGTATCACTTTCTCCACAAGCCAGCAGTTGGCCCCCACCCCAGCCCACAAGGAGCAAGATCAGACCCGTTTTACCTCTCTTAGACAGTCCTAGGCACATCCTCCTGGACAGGACATTCCCAGCATATGCTGGAGCCCCCCATCCTCTGCTCTGTGCCACCCACTGGCCCTTCTCTGCTGGCAGCTGGGTCATAGCACAGATTCAGTGTGGTTTTTTGGATTTCCCATGCTCTGATTTAACTTCCTGGAGCTGGCCAGTGGCAGTAGAGACCCAAGCTTTACCACTGTCGTGCCTGAGACCTCAACCCCACTTATTCACTCCCAGACACTTCCCCAGGAAAGGGGAGAAAGAAAGCCTCTGGCAGCAGCTCCTGGCATAACACTCCCGTTTTGTTTCCTTCTCTTTCACAAGCTGAACTGCAAGAAGCTGAAAATTGCTCCTGCATGAAAGATTTCAAACAGGGTTTAAACTAGGGGGAAGAGGGTTGGAGAAGTTACTTTGTCTTCCACAAGAACTAGTTTTAACTTCTGTTTCTCCGAAGTTCCCCACCTGTCTTGCTCTGGTGTTAAAACACCTCAGGTGCACATGACTTTACAGCCTGCGAGGGATCAGCCCTGTTTTGGCACTGTGCTGCCACAAAGTGAGATCAGTGCAGCTGAGGGTGAGATCAGTGCAGGAGCCTGAAGCCCCCAGGGTGAGAAAGAAGGAAAGATGAGATAGGGATGACAGAATGACAGCATCTGCTCTCACCAACCTCGAGCTGATTACACGCTCCTGACTCAGTCCAAGAGCACCCCCACCAACCCAATCCCCTCACAGGTCCCTGTGAGTAGTCTGCAAGCATGGGACTGCAGCGTCCTTAGGAGTTTGCAATTACTGTGTAACCCTCTGAGTCCCACAGTGTGAAAAGGGAGGGGAGGGGGGAACCAACCCAGCAGGGAAAGCTGCCGTTCTTGCATGTAATTTCCTTGACCCAGATAACAGGCAGCTGATTATCCTCAGAGCAAGAAGCCGTAGGCCGCAAGTTCAGGGAGGGCTCAGTATTTCTGAGGTTTCCACACTGTTCAGCAAAGAGCCCCAGGACATGGTGTCCGTACAGCGCAGCAGTTCCTTCCGAGGGAGCCAGGCGCTGGCACAAGTGGCTCAAGTGCTGCCAGAGTAGCCCTAAGATCCTGAAGACTGAAGTAAAAAAAGCCAGAGGCCTGAGCAATAACACCAGGGAAATCAAGTCTGGGTGCATGTAACTCCATCATATTTTCTAGCTCAGCATCTGCCCGCTGGTGGGTTGGGCACATCTCATCCTGCTGGGAGGCAGAGAAAGTGAGGCAACATCCCAGATCCTTCCCAACAGGTTTTTCACAACCCTATAGGCAGTATTAAACTGGATAGCTAGAAATATTTGCTGACTAACTTTTGGGGTGGTGAAGTGTTTTTTTCAAGGATAAGACCCCGGGTGGGGCTGGTGACCAAAGAAATCATTCTTTGGACTTGCCCTCAAAACGAAGTCCAAGGCCGCCGAGAGCAGGGATGCCGGATTTCTTTTGTTGGAAGCCGCGGCGCTCAGCATAACGCAGGCACACCCATGCTCTGCCAGTGATAAGTGAGCTCCGCTGGGCACCGCCTGGGACGTTTATTGTTCCTTTTCCCCACACAGTTGCTTCGTTATAAGAAACGAAAAGGAGTCAGGTATCTCTGGGACTCCCCTCGCTGCTGCTTTGACGCTGCAAGCCAAGACTGCCCCCGGAGGGGGAGATCAAAGCCTCGCTTCAAGACGGAAAAACGGAGAAACCTTATCAGACAGAGACCACCCAGCACAGGGAGGGGCGAGCTGTCACCCGGGAACTTTGCCTGCTGCCGAACCGCCCGCCTCCCCGCCCGCGCCGCGCCCGCACAGCAGCAAACTGGTGAAATCCCTCTCCGGCTCGGAATCCTCCCCGGGTTTTGCCTCGCTCTCCGCACCGGCGGGCGGGTGCCCTTGGCCGGGCCGTGCGGGCGGTGCCGAGCGGGGCGGTCCCCGCGGGGCTCGGGGGGTCCCCGCCGCAGCCGTGCCATGCGGGTCCCGCTGCCCGCCCTGCTCGGCGGCTCGGCCGCCGCCCTCCTGCTGCTGCTGCTGCGATGGCGGCGGCGGCGGGGGCTCTGGAGGAAGGTGGCGGAGGCGCAGCAGCGGCAGGAGCGCAGCCTGGTGCGGATGGAGACGGCAGTGCAGCGCTTTCGGGAGCAGGTGAGCGCCGGGAGCCGGAATCCTCGCTCCCACGCCCCCGGTGGGTGGGCGAGCCGAGCCGCCTGTGCCCGGCGGGGGGCTGCTCACCTGGGCGCTTTTCCCATCGCACAGTCCCACCCCAGTGCCGTCCTCCCTGAGAGGTGCGGCTGCTCCCGCAGGGCTGGCCCGGCTGCCAAGCGGCATCCCGGCTCCTCATATGGACCCACGGGGATTCAGCGTTGTTATTTTTCCCTTTCTGGGTCGATGTGTGCGTGTAGCCGTCAGCATCGCAGCGGTCGCTGCTGTCGCGGGCGTGGGGAAGGAAGCGCTACCTGGGGCAGGGGGGGATAACGGGATAAACAGTCACCGGCAGCGAGGAACGGAAAATCCCTGCCTGAAAGCTTCCCGGCACCTTGGCCGTGGTGGGAGGCTCAGGCTGGTTGAGGAGGCAGCTGGAGGAGGCGAGAGGCGATGTGTTATCAGCAGGGGCCAAAGTGCAGCCGCAGCTGCAGGGAGGGAGGGATGCGTTGGTGCCCCGCGATCCCGTCAGGCAGCCCGGCCTCAGGCTGGAGCAGAGTCACTCGGGTTCAGAGTCCAGCTTGAGGGGAAAGGTTTGACACGTTTTTCATGATCTTTAGTGGGTGGTGAGGAAATTTCTGCTGACCCAAAAATGACCTGAGTGCTGCCAGCCAAGGGGCTCCCTGGTGTTTGCACTTCCCTGTAGGATATCTTGGCAGTGCCAGGAGAAGAGCTGGCTCCAGGTCCGAGTTTGTTCCTTCGTGTAACAATGTCTATAACCATGAGACCAGCTCCCACTCTATAATTCAGCAGAGAGCACTGCACTAAGATGTTCCCCCAGGCTTGGCCATGACCTGCCTGAACAAGGCTGTGTGAAAGGCTGAATTTTAAACAGCACGTGCTTGATGAGACTGCTCTGGCTAGGAAGCAAGCCTGAGAAAGCCTGGGCTAGTACTGGCCCTGCAGGTTTCACACCATGCTCGCTGGCATCAGGTAGAGCAGGATGTGGTCTTGAGGCAGATCTTACATTTAGCTACTGAATTGAAGGCATTTTTTTGTGTGTGGGTTACAAAGAGGACCAAGGAGAAAGCAACCCAGCAGCTGAAGTAGAGGTGTAACATTGCCTGTTCAACCTTTCCCATAGAATCCTTCCGTGAACGTAGTCTCCATCCTCTCTCTGCCTTTGCCGGAGCTGTCCAAGAAACTCCGTGATGGCTCCCTCCCTCTGGACCATGTCTTCTACTCCTACGTGGGCAAGGTGAGGAGCAGGGGTGGTGGGGCAGCATCTCACCCACAGTGGGGCTGGCTTTTTTTTTTTTTTTGAGAGACCCAGCACAAGGTTCAAACCTGGTTTAGATGCTGCTGAGCTGCCACTGCTCTCTGGTTAGTGAGCCCTTCTGTGCTTTTCTGTGAGGGAGGAGAGAGCTGGGCATCTGACTGCCATAGCTCTGAGCTTGCTTTGGAGCAAAAGCTAGCAGCAAACTCAGCATCTGGAGAGCCCATACCTTCCTAGGTGAGTCCACACCTTCCCTGGGCAGGTATTCCTGTAGGGAAGTTGCAGAGTGCTGCTATTGTCTCCCCTCCATCTCCAAATGCATTGGTAAACCTCATAAAGTCAGTGTTCATGTTCATTCTCTACTTTTCCCATAATGTCCTGGTCACCTCCTGTGTTCCCTCTTTGGGAGCATCATTTTTGCCACCCCAGAAGCTCAGTCAAGTCCATGGTATTCATCTGGGCTGAGTGCCTCCTTTCATCATGCACCAGCTGGTACTATGGCCCCCGCTGTGTCCAGAAATAATTTTGAAGTTTGGCATGAAAATGTCTTGAAAAGGAGCAGGAAGGGCTTCCCTGATACCTGATGGAAAAGGGGGAAGAGGCAGGTATCCTTTGCGGAACAGAAGGCCACTGTGCAGCGCTGCAGGCTGTGTCTCACCTGTGGGCTTTGCCTGCTTTCCCCAAGGCCATCCAAATCACCACAGAAACCAACTGCATCACGGAGTATCTGCAGGAAAGCGAGAACCAGCTCCGGAAAGCGAAGCTGACAGGGAAGCAAAGGTTTGCTCTACGGGGTGCCAGTCAGCATCAAAGACTCCATCGACTGCCAGGTACTGCCAGCTTGATTTTGCGTGTGTCCTGAGATCCATGTGGTTTGAAGTTTGGTGGCAGGGGGAGGTTTGACCTCAACATCTGGCTTGGCTCTGTCACAGCTGATGTGGGGTGGCCTGCCCTGTCAGGTGAGGGGGTTTGCTGTTCATATGAGCCAATAGAGAAGGCTGGTCAGATTTACTGTCAATGCACTAAGCAATGTGTGTGTGGTGGATGGGTTTTTGGAGGTGTGTGCATATGCTTAAATATATAGATAAAAATATGGGGGCAGGGGGAATTGCGCTCTTCCATTTGGAAACCTTGTTGTCCTGTGTTCCCAGGGTCATGATTCCACGATGGGTTTTATAAAATACCTCAACAAACCTGCAGCAGAGGACAGCGTGGTGGTGCAGGTGCTCAGGAGACAGGGGGCAATTCCATTTGTCAAAACCAATGTTCCCCAGTCCCTCATCAGGTAGGTGGGTGCTCCATTCTCTCAGCATCATGTTCATACTCCCTTCCTCATCTCGAGGGAGGGTTTCTGCCCAATCTCATTCTCATTTCCCTCTTCTTTTTATATAACAACACCTGGCCCCCATCCCTTATGTCTTTAAGTTTCACTTAAAAAAGTAAACACATTTACACTGAGGATGAAAATTAACTTTTGTTCCAAATGAAATAGAGAAGCAAAAGAGGACAAGGAGAGAAATTGTTGCTCTTGTTTCCTGTGCTGGGTATTTTTAAGTCACTTTATTTCTTTTTTTTAAATTATCCTCTCAGAGATGATCCTACAGTGCAAACACATATTCACGGAAGGGGAAGCTAGTTTAGCTAACAACCTCAAATTATCCTGCCCCCAAACATCCTGCTGTATCTGGCAAGACCACTCTTGGTGTCATTGATATGGGGTGAGCTCAGGTGTGCTCTGCTGGACAGCGTCCCTGCATCCTGCCACGTGAGCTCTGGCAAAGCTCCTCTCTGGGTGACTCTTGCCCAAGTCCTATGAAATGCCTTCCTCAAGGTGATGTGGCAACGACTGACCATGTTTGAAAAAAGCCACACAGACAGGTTGCCTCAGGGATTATCAGATTTTGTACGAGTTCCTGGGGAAGTCCGATGTCAAATATCACTGCAGTTGGCATTTGGCCTGTTCCCAAGCAGGGGCTCAGCTTTGGGTGTCCTGTGGCACTTGGGACTACCTGAACAAGGAGAGCTTTCTGGGAGGCTTAATGTATTTGTGCTGCCAGAGGTTCTCTCTGGGGAAGGCTTAGTGACACTGAAATTATTAGCTGTCAGTGAATCCAGGTCCTGGGACCACCAGGAAAAGGCTGGTGGTCTTCATGGGAGCTTTAAGAGGCTCCCTCAGACTAAGTGATGTCAATGTAACAGCTAGTGAATTACCCTTTTACCTTCTCAGGGTCTTTTTGTAGTGACTGGGCTCCACAGCAGCAGATACCTGCATTCCTCATTTGCAATCTCTCTCTCTCTGTTTAGCTATGACTGCAATAACTTAATCTTTGGTCAGACGCGCAACCCTCTGCTCTACACCAGAACCCCTGGAGGCTCCTCTGGTGGAGAAGGGGCACTTATAGGAGGTGGTGGGTCCATCTTGGGCATTGGGACGGATGTAGGAGGGAGCCTGCGTTTTCCTGCTGCCTTCTGCGGGATCTGTGCGCTCAAACCCACCGGGAACAGACTCAGGTACTGTGAGAAATGCAGTCTGTAGGTTGGGACCCACCCTACCAACCACTGTGCTGGGATGATCCTACTTCTGTGGGGAAAGGGGAAACTTGGGAGGAACTGGGAAGGGCTTGTTTATCACTTCTGCCTGGGCATTTTCTGGGGCTATATGGAAGGAAGCATTGGTTCTCCCAGAATGGAGATGGGGAATCTTCTCCATCCAGATGCTAAGGGGGTTGTTGTTCCTGACTGACAGGGCACTTGGGCCTAGGCTGGGGTCTCTCTTGGATTTCCCCTTGGCTCTTCCTTCTGCCAACCTTTGTATCTGCAATTTTAATTAATACTTGCTACTACTTAAAGCCTTTCTCTTCAACACAAAATACTCAGCTTCTGCATTGTGTGTGTCTCTTTTCTTTGCAGTAAAAGAGGAGTACAGGCTGGAGTTGTTGGGCAGAAGGCAGGTAGGAATTGACGGCTGTCTCCCAGGGAGGGCAGCAGGGCAGAGAAGAGAAGGACCCTCAGATGGCTATGAGGGACTTTCTCCAAGACCTGTAGATGCAAGCAGGTTCCCTTTCAGGGACTCTTTCAGAGAGCCACCATCATTTCTGAGAAACTGAAGTATACATGAGCCCAGAGGAGCAGTTCGGGTAACACATAAACCACAACACACTCTGTTAACCCACAGGTTGCTGCCTTGTCTGCCACTGCTTCGTGGGAGGTGGGATCAGCAGTCAAAGGGGGTGTTTAATGTTGTCCTTGTGCCGTGATTGACAAAGCTTTTTGTTTATTTGTTTTGCAAATTGTGAAATGGAGACGCCAGGGCACATATTGATGGATAACAGCTCTGGGTCCATAATGATGGATCTGCTGGTGGGAAGACACTTGCAGGCCTCCCCAGCCCAGTTCTTAAAGAGGAACTGTTACCAACATTAGACTAGGATGAAATGATTCCCAGAGATCCTGCCTCTGCAGAACATGCCCTTGAAAGACACCCAGCCATGAGTGCTCTGTTCTGGTCTCTTCCAGTGGCTGCAGCAGTGGGGCCGATGGCAAAAGATGTGGAGAGCCTGGCTCTGTGCATGCGGGCGCTCCTGTGCGAGGACATGTTCAGCCTGGACAGCACAGTGCCACCCCTTCCCTTCAATGAAGAGGTATGGGACCTCAGAGGGGCCAGAGGGCTCTGGGAAGAGCTCCCACCACTCAGGGTGAAAACACCCGACCTGTGGGTGGGCAGCGTGGGCGAGGGAAGTGCTGCTTTCCAGACCAGCCCCATGTCGCAGAGGTACTGCTGGCTGCACTGGTGTCCTTCCAGCTGGCCCTCTCCCTTGCTCTGCAGGTGTATTCCAGCACACAGCCCCTCCGCATAGGGTACTATGAGACCGATTTCTTCACCATGCCGAGCCCTGCCATGAGACGCGCCGTCCGGGAGACGAAGCAGCTCTTGGAGGAGGCCGGCCACACGGTAGGAGCCATGGGCTGCGTGGACATCAAGGGGCCAAGCTCATCCTCTGTCTTCTGACTCATCAGTTGTTGCTCAAAGGGAAAACATAATTTTCAGGGAAGGCCCGATGAGGTGGGGAGGACGTGGTGAGCTCATATACTGGAGGCTCTTGTGAGGGCTTGTCAGAAACTCCTCAACCCAGCTCAGCTCATTTTAAACCCTCGATGGCTTCTCTCACACAATTTCCTTGTGCCTCTGCCACTGATTCATTCCTCTCTTGTCCTTCCAGCTGGTGCCCTTTGAACTCACAAATGTGGACTACGTGATCTTTAACTTCTGCGTCAGGGGAATATTTTCAGATGGAGGCACCTCCTTTGTCGAGAAATTGTAAGTAATGCCTGGAGTGGTTTGGTAGGATTGGTGCCCATCTATAAAAATCCTCCCTAGGATCTGGCTATCATATGGATACACATAGCAGATCTACCAGATGTAGATAGCAGCTTACAGGCACTGGGATTTACTGGGGAGCTTAACATCAAGTAATTCAGCTGAACCTTGATTCTCTTTGGGATTGTTACTAGCTTTAACAAATGAAAGAAGACTGGGAGCTGACATCCTATAAATACTGTGAGAATCAGAATTGCCCAGTGGAATGGAGCAAACCTCTTTGTCACTTAGATATGCTGTTCAGAGGGGTTGGCTTGGGAAAGCTGATCTGCTGCGATTGCTTCCTATCACTGCTCAGCTAAACACTCCTTTCCCTTTCAGCAATGGGGAACTTGAGAAAGGCGGCTCGGCGATGTTCTTCTGGTTGGCAAAGTCACCACAGTGGCTGAAAACTCTCCTCTCCTGGATTGCCAAACCTTTCGTAAGGTCCATTTCTTTCTAGCGTAGACAGGGTTAAGCAGTATGTGGTGAATAACTTGTCTCCCGTTGCAATAAGGCTTTGTCATAGAGAAGTCTCTAGGCACTGCTTCCTGGCTGTGCTCAGACACATCTCCAAACTGGAGTAATGTTGTTTCTGTTTCTTCACTCCCCACTTTGGGGAAAATCCACAAGTCCTGCCTGACCACCGAGTAAACAGCTTGTATTTGTGACTGAGCTGTCTCAAGACACATCAGTTATTTGCCTTTTTTTTTTTTTCACTTTCTCCTTCTCAGGTACCTCGATTTTCAAGGATCATAGGAAATACGAAAGCAAAGTAAGTAAATCTGAGCCTGAGCAAGGGTGTGAAGATTTGGGTTTCTCTTTTGGAGAGCAGTGTTTGCTACATCAGGGACCCTGCCCCAGCTGCACGTGCCTGAGAGAATGCAAGGCAGAAAACACAAGAGTGGGAGCAAACTGAGAGCAGTTTGTGTCAGTGCCATAATCCTGCTGGGTTTGGGAAACTGTTGTAGTATTGAGGTGGGAATGAGAGCAGGGGCTCACAGCCTCTGACTTAGGAAGTGGGTGAAACCTGTGGGAATGAAATACGGTGTTTGCTTCAGCACTGGTTAATGCATCCGTCATGCCATAGGCTGGGGACTCTATAAGGCAGAAAAAAGGTGTATGCACAGGGAAGGAGGCTTGCTCTGCAATGTCAGTGTTGGGCAGTTAGAGATAAAAAAGGACTCAAATTGTATAGTTGAGAGGGTGTACTAAAGTCCTCTCTTCCCTTGGCTGCAGCTCCAGGGGCAGAGGTAACCTGTGCCCATCTGCTTTTTGCTGCTCTTCCCTTCCTCCAAAGATGCTCTTTGCAACACCTTGTGATGCCTTTAATTGTTTTTTTTTCCTTTTTCAGCACTGTGTCTGATGTCTGGAGTCTACATCATGAAATTGAGGTAAATTATTGCAATTTGGGGTTAGACAGTTTTTGTTTGATTTTTTTTTTTGGGGAAGAGGCAGATTCAGCGCCCACCAAGGTTAGGAGGTGATCAGTGATGTAAGGTAGGAACATGTCACTCCTCAACAGATCTCACTTGGATGTGCAAGTCCTCAGCACATTTAAAGATTAGGACGACATGTAGATAAGTTCATGGTTCTGAATCAGGCCTGTGTTTTTTACACCTACACTTCAAAAACATAGGTCATCACCTGCAGCAGACTTGCCTTTGTTTCCATTCTTGTGTCCTGGAGACCCGTCACCATGTCTCAGGTCACCATGTGCCCCTGCACTCAGTCTTTTCCCACCTGCAGTTTACCAGGGAGAGGGTGCTTTGTATGCTGGGTGGGCTGTTGGCCAGGCAGCAGAAGGTTGCTGGATTTTAGCAGAACCAGGCCTGTTGTAGCCTGTTGGCTGATCCCAGGCAAGGGCCAAGAGCCTGGCTGGATGCCCAAGGAGAGCCTCAACCAGCAGCCATGGCACGGCACATCCACCCCACTGACCACCAGCACATTTCCTCCTCAGGACTTTTGCCACCAGTTCATTGCCCAGTGGAAGAAGCTGAATTTGGATGTCATGCTCTGTCCCATGCTGGGCCCGGCCCTCCACATCGGCTACCCTGGGAAGCTCTCAGGTAGGACTGCCTCCAGCATGCTCCTGCTGTGGCACTCCACCAGTATCCATGAGGAGTGTTCCTCCTCCCCTCACATCCCCAGGGCGCTGGCCAGCATTGGGAAGAGCTCGTCTCTTGGGACAGACAGCTGCAGTCCCAGCCCATGGGGTACTCCCAGGACAACACTCCTGGTTCATGTGGGAGCTAAAGGGATGGTTTCTGTCCCTCAGCCCTTGAGTTCCCAGAGCAAGTGCCCTGTTTGGTGGAAGCTGACGTACACCAAGGGGGGTGAAGGCTTTCCCTGTGTCAGGCTGGCACTGTGAGCTCCCCCTCTCCCCCAGTGGCAGTCAGCTACACCATGCTCTACAATGCCTTGGACTTCCCCGCTGGCGTGGTCCCTGTGACGACGGTGACGGATGAGGATGAGGATGAGCTGAAGGACTACAAGGGCTACTATCGGGATTGGTGGGACCGGACCCTGGCAAAGGTGAGTGGTGCCAGGTTCCCTGGGGGCAGGGGCACCCCCATCCCTTCCCCAGACGTCCTCATGGCCTCTCCCCCTCTGTGTGTGCCACAGGCTTTTGGTGGCAATGTGGGGATGCCCGTGGCCGTGCAGTGCGTGGCCTTGCCGTGGCAGGAGGAGCTGTGCCTGCGGTTCATGAAGGAGGTGGAGACACTCGCTCTGAAGAAGAACAGTTTCGTCTGAGACCCACGGGCTCGCTTGGAGCAGGATCCCAGCTGACATCAGCGTGGGCCATCCTTTGGTCTGACCCACAAGGACTCGTGTTCCCCTCAGTGAGGATGTGGTGATGGCTGGGATTGCTCCTGTCTTTGGCGTGCAAGGGGAAGGCAAGATGAGCTCGGCAGTGGTGGAGTTGTCCAGTCATTGTCCTAATACAGTCCTTTTTATTATCTGAGTCTGTTCTTTCAGATCTGTGTTTGTGGGGGTTGGGGTGGATTTTAATAGCCCTCTCAACACCCCGCAGGGAAACACAGGAACACAATCTTTCTCTTACAAATGGGGAAACCGAGGCACAGGGACTGGTTTTGTAAGAGATGCTTGGGCTCCTACTTGGAGTGCTGTAGGAACAGGCATTTTCCCCTCTGTTCTCAGCTTCCTCAGGATGAAATCTGGTGTTTTCCCTACCACAGACCAGCAATCTGAAGAGAAAGCAGACTCTGGCAAGCAAGGAGGGAGCTGGCCCACTTCCCACAGCACAGTGCTGCTGGCACCCTGCACACCACGAAGGAGAAATCAATAGAATCACAGAATGGTTTGGGTTGGAGGGGACCTTAGAGATCACCTAGTTCCACCTCCCCTGCCTCAGACTGGGACACCTTCCACTAGACCAGGTTGCTCAGAGGCCCATCCAACCTGGCCTTGAACACTTCAAGGGATGAGGCATCCACAGATCTGGGCACCCTATTCCAGTGTCTCACCACCCTCGCAGTAAAGAATTTCTTCCTTACATCTTATCTAAACCCACACCCTTTCAGTTTGACGCCTGTATTGAGCAGCGTGCCAGGGTCGGATGGATGGCAGACAGCCTGCCCTGCACACCTTCTCCTCCCCTTTGGCCCATACCAGGATTTCCAGCAGGGTTTTCCAGCCACTGGCACCGGGATTGGCAGGACCGACTGCTCCCGGCAGGTTTCCAAGAGTGTTCCAGAAAGGAATGCCACAATGCAAAAGTGTTTTCCCAATGCAGGAATGTCAAAAGCAGATGGTAACAAAGCTCTGGCAGGATTAATGTTTGGGGTTTTTTAGTGTATTATTGTTGTTTAAACCAGAGCTGTGCAAAGGCACAGAGCCTTTTCAAGGTCTGGGAGAGTGTTTACCACAGCCAAGGAAAAAGCAGCCCCCAGGACCCCCATTCTTTATCAGCAGGCTTTGAAAACAGGAGGGAGGGAGCTTCAGGCATTCCATGATTGAATGCTATGTAAAGCAAAGCCCCAGAAGAGTCTGGGTGGGGTTCTTCACCAGCCACCAGTGCTCTCTGCCCACACAGAAGATGCTGGATGGGGTTATCTGTTTGTATTTTAAAATTCAAGCCTGGAGGAGCCTTGTGCCAGAAAAGGCAGTGCCCGTGCTCCCAGAGAGCCAAGCACTGTTAGTTTAACTGCTCTCTCCCTGGCATGGGGGTGGGCAGGGTGCAGGAGTCCAAACCAAGGAGCCACCAGTGAACCTGAACCTATAATTATTCCTCCCTGGAAGCCCTGAGTGAAGACCTTCAGCGAACCACGACCGTGGGACAGTGCACCAGGCAGGGTCAAAGCTGCTGGGCAGCTCTGGGGACTTGAGGCTACCAAAGGGCCAGAGCTGCAGGCTGCTCCCAGCAGTCAGTGGGGAGAGGTTGGCGACACACACCGAGTTGTTTGCCTCATTCTTCTATCTTCCCTGTCTGAACACGGATGATCCTCCTCACCTTTCCAGTCAGCAAACAATTTATCTACAAGGTCTCACTTCTCGCCCAGGCTCCCTCCCTGCTGCCACAGGAATAAATCCCACCTGACATGTCTGTACCAGGTAAGAAGTTAACAGGATAGCAGCATGATCACTCACTTCAGTCCCCAAACAAGACCTCCCCACCAGAGAGCAATGGTTACCCTGGATGCAGCCACCTTACAAGCTCTGCTACCCTGCTGCCTGGAGCAGGGCCAGCGTCTGTTCAGGTACAGCTGGATTGCCTTGCATCTTGGCAATGAGCTCTTGGAGGCATCCCCTGTTCCTTCCCTGTGGGCTTGCAGATACTTGAGGATGGAGTGAAGCTTAATTTTTTCAGCCCTTCCTTTCCACACTAAGCCACGGGACAGTCCTGGGCAGGGGGAGCACCCATGGCAAGGGGCATCTCCTGGGGCTGGTAAGACTGTGTGGTCCAGCTCCTTTGCCTCCTGATGGCTTGGAAACTGGAGAGCAGATAGGACTCTGCATCCATCAGAGGGGATTTCCCAAAAGTGCTCACCTTCTAATCCAGGTTGCCAAAAGACTTTTCAAAGGGGCTTGGCTTGAAAATGATACAGAAGAGTCATACTGCTTGAAGGCATCTTCAGATGGCTCCTTCCACGCTGTATTTCCAGAGCCACCTGCATTATCTTTGTTTTCCTGAGCTCCCCCCTCTCCACAGGTGCAGTTTCACTCCCTGCATGAGGTTCCCCAGAACAAGCAGAGCTACGTTTTCCCAAGCTCAAAGGGCTGCAGGTGATGCTGCCTGAGGGACAGGGGTGATAGCTAAGCACCTCTAGTTAATGGGTGTGAATGTTAATTAATTATTAGATGTGGGTATAGTAGGGATAGCCCAGACCTGGGCTTTGCAGGCACTCAGCTTTGTGTGCAGCCAGGGAGAGCAGCAGGCAGTGGCTTGAGGAGACACAGAGTTGGGGGACAGCCCAGCCTTGGGGAAGCCCCCCCCAGACTGAGTAAGCTGAGCACATGGTTTTGCAGCCCGACCCACAGCAGTGCTCCAGCAGGCAGACCCTTTCAAAGTCCATGTTCTAGAAAGTCCATTCCTGGGCTTTGTTAAAGCAACTCTACTTCAGAGCTGACCCTGCACAGCAGGGCAGTCAGAGAGTCTGCATTTATCTGCCCTCCTGAGGAGAAGGTGGGAGACTCAGCTGTCTGTAGCTGGACCCGAACCAAAAGGGTCGGGGAGAGAAATCGTGACCCAAGAGTGCCTGTGGCAGGTCCTGGATCCATCGTGGGGGGACCCTCGTGTCCTCTCAGCTCTGCTCTGCAGTTCAGCTGCAGCTGTCATGCTCCTGAAATGGCTGGGATGCAGACAGGTCCTGCAGAAGATGCATGAGGCGAGGAGGTCTCGGGATCTGGCCCTGGAAAGAATGGAGAAGGCAGCTTGCAGGTTTAAGCAAGAGGTAAATTTAGGGGGAAGTCTGTGTGGGAGGAAGAATTATATTTTGGATAACCAAAGGAATGGGGGAGCTCTGATCAGTCCCTCTCTGAATGGTGGTTAGGGCACATGCTTGTTTTTCAGCATCACCAATCCGACGGTTTTTAAGGGTCATCACCCTCCATTGTCCTGGAAACCCCTCCTATAACTGACAGTGTAAAGGAAATATTTCTTAATACAGACCTGATGAGGGAATTCTGAGTATGAAAGACCAATTGGAGCTTGGGATCTTCTCAGTCAGATCACCACCCCAGACCTCCCCATGCCCTTTCTCCTCATCCATCCCTACTGCCAGGCTTTTCCTCTCCCATCCTTACCTCTGCCCTCCATAGGGACCTGACTGCCCCATCACCCTCAAAGTACAAGGGGGCTTCACATCCTTCCAACACCTAAAAGCCATTTCCTCTTGCCCATGCCCAGGTAAAGAAGCACCTGGATTTTAGGAGGTCGGGTCCTTGGAAATGGGATTTGTCTTAGACCCATAATAAACACCTACTGCTATTCTTTTCTTGGAGGGGAGGTTGTGAACAGCCTGCACACTTCTTTTCCCCATGTTAATGATAAATTTTGTAAAACTTTAGCTGGTTGAACTGCTATTCAGTGAGTTAGAGTTAGAAGAGGGGTGAAGGCCTGTGGGAGACTGAACAGAGACAGGTCAAACCACTCTCACAGGTTCATGAAACTCTCCAGTCAAGGAGCAGTTTTCTCCCTGTTCTCATCCTGTTTTAAGAACTAAGACCCAGCAAATTCCCTGCTCCAGCACAAGGCAGTGCTCTGTGGGAGATCTGCATTTCCACTGGGCACTTCTTCTAAAATTTTCCGTTCAAGGTGATTGATTTCTGGACATATTTGAACTGGATATTTGCAGCCTCAACACCAGCCTTTTCTGTTGTGATCTTCCCTCTGCACCCAATTTCCTACCCTTTTTAGAACCCAGGCACCCAGACCACACATATCCTCTTGCTGACAATGGTGGAGCTGGTGGAGAAGCTGAAGGAGGGGTCCCTGTCCCCAGAAAGCATCCTCTACTCCTACATGGACAAAGTGAGTGATACCTTCAGCATGGAGGACAGTGGTACTTTCAAATTAAAAACCAGCTCATTTTCTGAGTCAATGCTGGGGATTGCAATTTGTCAGTACTGTGATGTCTGGCTTACAGGCAGACAGAAGTGTGGCTTACAGGCAAGTAAGTAGGACAGAGATCCAGGGCAGAAAATTATCCCAGAAGGAAACACCTGAAGCTTATAGATAAGATCTGAATCATAACTGCTGAAAGTTTGATGAGATGGAATTTTCAGCTTGAAAACTCAATATAAGTAATGTCTCCTTCCACCCATTCGTCTGTCTTGCTGCTCTTCTCTGTTCTGGAGAGGCTTTGGAGGTAAATTAGGAGGTGAACTGTGTGACAAACTTCATTCATGGCTGTGAGGATCAGCTCCAGAAACTGAAGAAGCAGAAGGAGAAGAGGCTGCTCTATGGCATTCCCATCAGCATCAAGGACCACATTAACTGCAAGGTACACCCCTGATTCCCCTGCCTCTTTCTTGGCTTGGAGCTGGAAACAGGCCAGGATGTCCCACCCTCATCAGGGCTGGCTAGGAATTCTCTCATACAAGAATCTAGATCAAATATTGTGGGACCAGCGAACCTGCCTCTCTTCTGATGAAATCTTGTTTTCTTCAGAAATTTCTAACCTACTCTGATCTGCTTTTCCCTGGGATAGTCAGGTCCTATTGTGCCTCTGAGAAAACTTAGGCGGGAACTTTGCCCCAGGAGGCACCATGACTTATGTCTCTTATTGTTACAGTTCCAAACAGGATTTCTCCTGTACTTAAAGAGCTTTGTTTCCCATCCCCAAGGGCCATGTCTCCTCTGGAGGGATGGTGAAGTTTCTGGGCCAAGTGAAGAAAGAAGGCAGCATCATCGTCCAGGCTCTAAAGCACCAGGGGGCAATCCCCTTTGTGAAAACCAACATCCCACGGACAATGATAAAGTAATTGCATGTTTGCCTTCATGAAAACACTATGATACATGACTCTTGCTATCACAGAGAGTGTGGGCAAGCTTTCCCCCCATTCTCCAAGCTAATCATGCACATTGAGTTAATTGCCTCCTCGTTTCAATCTGAAATTATTTCTCTTGTATTTGATGCCTCTTTCTCCTCTGATTCATCTGTCCCAACAAATCTACTTCATGCTGATTCTACCTGCTGGGATTAATTCCACTCTCATCCCTGTACAGATGCTCTGTGCCCTGTGTTTATGGTTTGCAGAGACAGAAGTACTTCACTCACTTGCTGATCTTCTTCTCCCCAGCTATGACTGCAGCAACCTCATCTTTGGCCAGACACTGAACCCTCTAAACCACCAGAAGAGCCCCGGGGGCTCCTCGGGAGGGGAGGGAGCTCTGATCGCAGGGGGAGGCTCCATCCTGGGCATCGGCTCGGATGTAGCTGGCAGCATCCGCCTGCCCTCCAGCTTCTGTGGGCTGTGTGGGCTCAAACCCACAGGCAACAGGATCAGGTACATCCCACCTTCTGTCCTCTTCTTCCACCCAGTGTGGAGACTGCAAGGTGTCCCCACAGTGCATCAAACTTCCCAATAGTGTCCATGGCTTCCCCCAGGTTTAAGTTAGCACCTAACCTGCCCTCGTGCCAGCTTAGGCTACAGGCTCTATTAATGACACAAGATGTTAACACAACAAAGACTAATTCAATTTTTAATGGCCCTGGCCAAGAAGCTGAAAGCAAATACTACAGGGTCACCTCCTTTACAGATGTTTTCCAGACGTTGCTTTGCTTGTAAGAGTTTTCTGTTTATCAGAGGTGGTTGTCCATAGATGAGGAATTAGATGCACCAGGGAGATGAGATGGATCACCCCTAACAGCTCACAGACTATGGAAGTTTTCCTAGCCTAGAAAGTGCAGGACCTTTTGCCCCACTAGATGTTTACTGAGGGCAGATGGGAAGTTTGCAGCTCAGCGTGGTGACCTGCCCTACAGCCAGAGCTGCTGCTGATCTGCTTCTCCCATTATGTTCGCAGCAAACAGGGTGTCATTTCTCCTCTCATAGGAATGTAATCAGGTAAGTCCATCCTGATGACATGTCACTACTGTCAAACCTTTGCTCCTTATGTCTCCTGCTACTGAAATGCCAGCAAGGGTGCTTGCTCAACTATGTGTCTCACAGCCAGTCAAAACAGTGACCTATTAGACCTGCCATGTGTTACTACTTTTTGCACCATTTACTCTCTTCTAGATGGTGGCAGGTGTTAGCTGAATCAGAGCAGAAAGGAACCACTACCTGTCCAGGCAAAGCAACGCATAGCAGGAGAGGTGCGAGATGCACATCCCAAAGGCCTGGGATATTTCACTGGAGATGTGCCAGGAGACTCTGCCAGCTTCAGCTGCTGCTGGGCAGCACTGCTGTTGGCAAGAAGGCTGCAGCCCTCCCTCCTTGTGCCTGCAGAAGCCTGGCCCAGAAGGTCAGCCTTAGTAGGCTGCCCCTGCTCTGAGACTGACAGGTTATCCCTGCTGGACCCCCTTGTATGTTACGCTCGTTCCTCATTCCTCTTCCCTGGCCTGACTGAAACTCTCCCCTGCTGGACCCCAACAAGTAACCAGCCCACCTGCCTGCAGTGACAGGACCTTTGTCCTTGCAGTGACAGCGATGCTGGGGCCGATGGTGAGGGACCTGGACAGCCTGGCCCTGTGCATGAGGGCGCTGCTCTGCGAGGAGATGTTCCAGCTGGACCCCACTGTGCCCCCCATCCCCTTCGATCAGGAGGTAATCCCGTGTCTCTATTTTCCCAGTGACAAAGTGAGATCTCAGGAGATCCCTACCTGGTTTCATGTCCCAAGAGAGCAAAGGATCCAGGGAAACACGTGTCCTTGTGGACACAGGACACCCAGCACGAGTGACCTAAAGAAGCAGCCACACAGCAGGGTTGGTAGGTAGGAGGTGGCGTCAGAAAGACTGTGCCAAGGACCTCTGGTGCAGACCTCTGTCCTGGACAACACTGTTTTTCCTCAGCCCTGTTGCTGCCACCAGTCCTCCAACCCAGGAGAGCTCAGCTGGTGCCTCCCTGAGCCCTGGGAACGCTCCAGTCCTGCAAATGTCATGTGTGTAAGTCTTGGCTCCTCCTCTCACAGGTTTACACGAGTTCAAAGCCTCTCCGCATCGGGTACCATGAAGGAGATGGTTACTTCCAGCCCTCACCCAGCATGAAACGGGCCATCCAGCAGACAAGAAAGCTCCTCCAGGATGCAGGGCACACGGTGGGTTTCCATGCCTGTGGTTGCTTGGAGCTGTTACCTCTGCTCCTTACAAAGTTTGGGCAAATCACTTTCCATCTCCACTTTTCCTGCCCGTAAAAGAGGAAGGCAAATGCAACAGTTTGGTTCCCAAACTGAAGGGATCTTGCTTATATTTCTGGCCTAGCAGACATGATAATTATTTTAAGATATCTCCAAGTCACCCCAAGCACTGTTTTGTTTTCTGTCATGTTTGCTGTTCCCATAGATATCAAACTCACAGCAGTTTCCACGATCCCTCATCTCCTAAACACAGCTTACAGATCTCTTGGCGGGTAAGTGGGAAGCAAGGTGGAGCAGTTAACCCCCCAGGGACTTCTTTCAGCCCAAATTATTCTGTAGTTCCACCAGTGAGGATTTCTGTATGGGAGCTGTTCCAATGATGCAAATTAATTTTTAAAAATGAGTGTTTTGAAGCCTCTAAAAATTCTTCTCCAACATGTGGAGCCTGTGCCAGGTCACAGTAAGTGTTTATGCCTTGGAAAGGACAGCAGGCAGATACTGCTAACCCAGCTGCCTTTGAAAATGGGGTCTTTCTGTCCTACAGCGGCAAGGAGGGTCTAAGTTTCCCACCACTTCACTTCCCAGGCATCTCACTGGCAGGGAGGCTCACAGAGGGCTCTGTGAATCATTCATCTTTGCTGCCTCTTGGACAGGGATGGTTTTCTTGCAGCTTGTTCCCTTCACACCGCCCAAGATTGACTACATGGTAGATGAGCTGTTCACCAGAGGGATTTTCTCGGATGGTGCTGCTCACCTGGTGGGCTGCTTGTGAGTAAAACCCTTCTTTTTGTGTGGGCTGTGAGACTTGGCACTGTATACCATAGCCAGTGGCTGCATCCAGAGCGTTTATATTCTCGTGGGTGCAAACTGATTCATGAGCAGCAGGGGAGCAATCTCTGGAAGGATGAATTTAGCACGGGCAGCAACCAGTTCACATGCACAGATAACATGGTAGACACCCACCCAGCCACTCGCTCATTTCAGGGTGAAGCAGGCCCCACTGCAAAGCTCTCCAGAACTTTTATGGCACTGATGGCATAGGCAGTGAAGTACTGATCTATCTGTAACATTTGCAGTGAGCATTTACACCTCAGCATCTATTGTTCAGTGTTTTCCTTAGAAACAGGCAGATTTTGTCTTTTAAAGACTCCCTTCCAAGACAAACTCTGCCTTGGAAGCAGCACTGCTATTGCTGTAGCTCTGGCACAGCGACTTGTCCTTTTTCACTCTCTGCCCTTCCAGCAAAGGAGACATCGTGGATCCCAACCTGAAATCGCAGTTCAATACTTACAGGCTTCCTGCTCTTGTGCATGTGCAGTGAGGTGTGAGGTACCTGCACCTCCAAAAGAAGGAGAGACACCCCAAACTGGGAGCACGTGAATTTAGAAGACTGCCATGATTTTTGTGTAGGTGTTCTGGCATGCTTTAACATAAGCTCTTTTGATGTACCTGCTCTTTTGAAGCACCTGCAAGCCCAGCTAAATCAGCTGGATGATGCCATAGCTTTTTTCCCAGAATGGTCATGCAGTTTTTATAAAAATGGGCTGTCTGTGCATTTTCCTATTTGTTTTCTGTTGCCACAGTCACAAAGCTGATTAATTCTGCCACCTTTCCAGATCTGCCAAAAACCTCTGGGATCAGCATGGAGCAGTGGCGGTAACGTGACTTTTATTTCCCTTTTTCCTTACTAAATATTGTGAGAGGTCTCTAAAGTTTCTAAGCAATTGCTTCGCACTCAGCAATGCATTTGGGGTTGGAAATGAATCACCATCCTTTGCCCTGCATTGTCTAAGCAAAAAATAACGTAAGAACAGTCATTAAATATGAGACTTCATTTTTTTCTTCTTTCTGTCTCTCGGTGCAAAGTCTTTATTTCAGACACTGGGTGATACTGTCACGAGCTAAGGCCATGCTTGAATGATCAAGCAGAGACAAAAACTATGGTTGTAAACTCTGTGGCTGAGGTGGCTTCCTTAGGAACCTGGGACAGGAAGCTTTCTCCTGGACAGCTGTGTCCAGTGCTGCCCACAAACTGATCAGGTTCCTCCTTTAAACCGTTTGAGTTTTCTGCTTGCATTTGATTTAATTGACTGGTTTCTCTCCTCCCTGCTCTGATGGTTGGAAACTTTCATATTTCCCGTGCTCTTTTATTCCCTTCCAGTTTATCCTTATTTTATTTCTGTCCTTGAGTGTAAATAGCACCTCTCCTCTCTGGTATTTTCCGCTGCCTCACTCCTACGTCTATTTATAGAGAGCAATTGTATCCTCTTTCAGCTGGTGTTTTGCAAGGCTGAAGAGGCTGAGCTGTTTTAGTGTCCACCCTCAGGGCAGGATCTGTTTCCTGGGACACTCTCTCAATCCTCCCTGAGGAGAAACATGCCCCCAGCCTGCACCACCCAGCCTCTATCAGTGCCAGTCACTCGATGGATGAGCAGGCTGGTCTGACAAATTAGAGGGCAGAGGAAAAACTCCTACAAAGCTGCCTGGGCACTGGGCTGGTGGGAGGTGTTTGGAAGGGAATGGGTTTAGGGGTTTTTTAAGGTGAAAACAGATTCCTCTCCCATCCGCCCCCCCCAAAAAACCCACAAAAAACCAAAACCAGCATAAAAATACACACAAAACCCACAAACCAACCAAGTAAAAAACCCCCACCAAACAAACAAACAAAACAAAGGACACCTCCCCAAAAACAAAACAAAACAAAATCTTTAGAAGGTTTGATGGCTTCAAAGATATTTTCAATTGCTTTAGTTCAGTGAAACAATATTCACATGTTTTCCTCTACTGCAAACAAGAGCTGATTCAAAACTTTTGGCTAGTGACCAGCTTTTCTCTCAGAAAAAAAAAAAAAAAAAAAAAAAAAAGAGTAGCTACACTGACTGTATTTCCTGGAAACCCTTCTCATTTGTTGAACTTTCAGCAGGAAGAATCTCAGACTGCAGGTGGAAATTGAGGTCAGACTGAAAAACAGCCCCAAGGCCAGGGCTCTTGTGAGAGATGTGAGAGACAGAAAACTTGCAGTGAGACAGTCGTGCACAACAGGGCCTGGACCATGGGACATGTGTGTGTAACCAGATTATGGCTGCAGAAACAACTGTAGTGTAGTCCATCCATGTCTATCTGCTAAGATGAAGTGGAACAGCTCTTTGAGGATGGATTAATTCGTTGCCTGATGTTCAGCAGAGATGTAGTAATCCAGACTACAAACCTAGACCTCTCTTGAATCTGCAGTACAGTCCTGAAGCTGTGCCTCCTGCGTTGTGAGGGGATGTCCTGAGGCTTGCCTTGCTGTCTCTTGTTGCCTCTTTTCCTTTCCTGTATCCCCACACAGAATGAAAGAAGTATTTATGAAAATATTTTGGGTTCATTTATTTTAGATTCTTCTATCAAAATAACCAGAGCTTTTAGGAAATGTGATTTTTAGTCAGCCAGACCTAATTCTTCAAACTGCTGTTGATCTCCTTTCAATACAATTCAAAAGCAAAACTGTTCATGGGAAGGATTGGGTTAATGCTTGACGAAATCAAGTCTGAAATGCACACCTAGCATTAATGTCTAAGTCTGGGCAGCACATGGTATCATGACAGGAAACCTAAAGGAGGAAGAACAAAGTCCCTTGACCCTTTCAAAGCCCAGCTCAGATTTTATCTTATTTTTTTAGTTGCATCCAGGAAGGTTTTTTCCCCTCCTTTTCCTATGTGTCAGCACTGACCTGCCACTGCTGTCCAGCAGACATTTTTGTCATCTCCTCTACCTTTCCTCCCAGGTTTACCACACAGAATTCATTGCCAAATGGAGGAAGCTGAGGCTGCATGTGGTCCTTTGTCCTGCCCTGGGGCCAGCCTTTAACCATGGCTATGCTGGGAAGCTCTTTCGTAAATCTCCACTGAGGTGTCTCCGGGTGCAGAGCTGGAGAGAGATACTTTGGGCTCTTGGACATTCTCCAAACCATGAACATTGCTCAGTTTCCCTCTGTGGGAGAAAGCAAAGGAGAGGTCACCTCAGTGGGTCTTCTCATTCCCCCACCTCATCTGAGCTGCTGGTGTTGGGTTATTATGGGGTAGCCATTAGTGGCACATCTGTCCCAGTTGTTCATCAGTGAGTTTCCACTCCACTGTCTGTCCTGTAGAAAGCCCAAGAACTGCTCTTGCAGCACGGAGTGGCAGTGAGGAGTATATGTCAGAGGTGTGGTAGACTTTGGTACAGGGCCAGGCTCCTCTGAATGCAGCTGTCTCACATTTCCCAAGACTTTGCAAAGAGCAGAAAGGCTCTTTGCGTGTGACTGGCAGAAAAAAGGCGCTTTTTTATAGCTTCCAGCAAACAGTCAGGGTCCTCCCTCTCTCTAGCAATGACCTTTTGGGATCCAAAATCCCCGAGATTATGTTAACACAACCGGACATCGGGAATATCTTGAAAAGATAGCTGGGACTTTTCCCCAGGGAATGGGAGATACAGATGCAGACTGTGAATCGGATCAAAGACTCATGTCTGTCCCTCCCAGAGCAGATCTGATCTCCACACGACCCACAGGTAAAGGTGCAAGTCTCTCTGTGGTCTCAGCAGCCATGTGGCCCTCAAACCTCTCCATCAAAAGTCCCTTTGAGGCAGCAGGTTTTCAGGGTCTCTTCAGGTCCAGCCACTCCAGATTACAATCCCTGCAGCCCAAACTGTCATCTGAAAGTCGCTGCTGGCCCCGCACACTAAACTTTGCTGTTTTGCATGCTCTGTGTGATCTTTTCCAGCTGTGACCTCCTACACCAATTTGTACAACGTGCTGAACTTCCCTGCCAGGGTGGTGCCTGTCAGCACGGTCACGAGAGCCAACGAAGAGGAACTGAAGCATTACTAAGGACACTACAGAGACCCTCGGGATAAGAGGTTGAAAGAGGTCAGGGGGAAACAGCTTAAATCATGGAAGAAGGTTGTGACTGGCACAGCGACACCTCTGGGACGTTATCCCAGTGCTCGTCTACAGCTCCTGCTGAGAGTGGGAGCTGGTTTAGTCATGCAGTTTGCATTCTCCGTGCTGCTACCCTGTGCGTGGTGCAGCAGCAAGACTGGTGCCTGACAGCTGTCCCCTTGCTTGTCTTCCTCTGCCTTCTCTTCCCGTAATGTCTTGTGCCTCCCCAGGTGCTCTGGTGCTCTGACTCAGCACTGTCCTTAACTTATGCAGGCTGTGGAAGGAGCTGTGGGGCTGCCTGTGGCTGTCCAGAGCTGTGGGCTCTGCCGTGGCAGGAGGAGCTGTGCTTTCACTTCATGAAGGAGGTGGCACAAAGAGGAGTGTGTGATTTCTGGGAACCAGCCTTCCCTGTGACGGCTTTTCATTCCCTGACCTTTGCTCCAGCCACCTTCTACCTGATGCAAAGTAGACAGCAAACCTAAGGCTCTGAACTAACATTTCAATAAACTGGCACAAAATGCTGCTTAAAAATAGCGAAAATCTCGCCCCTGTCTGAGTTGTGATTCATTGTTAAACCGAGTCAAAAAGAAAACCAAAAGAAAGGAATGAGAGTTAGTGCTGTAACAAAGGAATCCCATGACAATTGCAAAACAATATCTGTTGTAGGATGTGAGACCAAAGAGCTGTTTATTGCAGTATTTTACTTCCAGCAGTGGGCAGGAACAGATGTTTGTGGGAGAGTATAACCTGGTAAGTGCAGGATTCCCTCTCTGGCTGTGCCACTGGTTGGCTAAGGGACTTTTTGGCAAAGACTTGCAGTGTCCCCATTGGTTTAAATAGCTGCCAGGAGAGCTCTCCTCCACAAACCGTTGTTCTCCTCCCTGAACTCATGTGCTCCCTTGATCTCCACATCATCCAGCAGTTTAATTGTTCAGGGAGTAGTGGAAAGCTTAATATTCTGTGAGAAATGGTGACTGGTCTGTCTTCACTCCTGTTCCTCATCATTTCTTCCAGTTAAGCAAGGGGAAAAGATGTGGTTTTATTGCCTATAAACACTTCAGGGAAAACTGAGAAAGCATTTCTGTGTCTGCTCTTAGGCCATTCATGCTGTTTGGTGTTTCCAATAACACTGACAATCATCAGCAATGATTCCTTCTCCAAGCCTACAGGCACCGGGGCTGGAGGCAGTATTTTCCCAACAGGAGGAGAGAGCCAAGGGGTGACAGTGCCTCTGTTGTTCATCTGCCTCCCTGGGGCAGGGCAGGGATGCTGCAGCCACCCAGCCACCTCCCGTGGCCTCAAGGGAGTCTGAGTCACACAGAGTGAGCGTGACACAGTCACACAGCCTGACTCACCATCCTCTGATCCACACACAGCCAGGAGAAGATCCATGGCACAGCCCTGCTCCAAGGAGATGCCCTGATTCCACAGGACTGCTGCTGGGGGCACCACCCACGGAGATCCTGGTGGACGACCATCACTGTCTCAGGCCAGGAGCAAAGGGTTTTGAGCAGTCCTCTCATAGGGAGGGTGGGAGCTCACCATTAAACAGGAAACCTGCCCAGGTAGTATTCCTGAATAGATCTGAGCATGCACAGACCTTGTCTTTCAAGGAAAGGACAGTGTCCTTTGCTTTTATATCCCTTCATATCTTTGCAAGGCTGAAAGAGTCTTGTTTCTAAAAGCAATTTCCCCATGCATACCTGCACTCTGCATTCCAGCCGCTCCTTGTGGATGGCTCTAGAAGGGATTTACTGTTACTCCCACTCTCCTTTCTCCTGCCTCCAGCCAGTCACTAGATCTCAGGATCCTGGAGCACTAGCTCCAAGGACCCAGCACCCAAAGGGATCTGATCTCTCACTCTGATCCAGCGGATGACTGACGCAGAGTGAGTGGATATTCTCAGCCCTGGTATCAGCTCAGCTAAAGCTCTCCTGGCACTGAGGTGAATGAGGTGGAGAAGACATGTCCAGAAGAAGATGGACAAGGTGTGTGGGAAACAAGATACAAGTTTGGACCTGATTTGGGGGTCTGTTCAGGAATTTAAAGAGCAGGTAAGTGCCTCAGCTGGACAGAGAGCAAAGCACATTCCCAAGTAAAACTCAAGGGCCCTTCTCACGTCAGGTGGTCCGTGATGTCCGTTGTCACTGCTGCATAAATGTGGGGGGAAAGTGGGGAGGGTGATGCTGAGGACAGTCTGGTGAGCTCAGGTGTTGAAACACGAGGAGAGAGGCGCCTGTAGCAGGGCAAAACTTTAGGTTTTCAGGACAGTTCTTCCTCCAGACCTCCTCCACACTGGAGGAGAAATGTCAGCTCCTTCCCATACCCACCAGCACCGTGTTGCTGTGCTTCCAACCCTTCTGCAGCTCTTCACCATGAGCTGTTGGCTCAGGCTGTGCAGCTCTTGCAGACCTTCACTGTGTGTTTGCAGAGTGCTTGTTCAGCTGCCTGGCACTGACCAAAGTCCAGGCTTTGGTCTGTCTCAGAGAATTATGTACAAATGCTGCTTGGGCCAAAGGAGCTTTGTTTTTACTAGTTTCTTTCATTTCCAGCACAATAGCCTGGCTGTGGTCTTTGCTTTGATCATTTTTCCTCCTCCCTCTTGATTTTGATAAAAATTTAAATCTGCCCTCCTCAACCCATATTTCATTCTATGACTAGAAAAATAACCAAGCAAGGTTGAGAGATTGAATCATCAGGCAATCCAGCTTTTTTATTTGGTTATACTTTACTTCACAGGATTTTTTGTTTATTTAATGTCACATTGCTATATAGTCATAACATCAGGAGCAAATAAGGCTCTCTAGAAAACTGATACCAGCAGAATATGAGTTGTTAGAACAGGTCAGTTGTCCCCTTACAGTATCTGAAGCACACAGAGCTCTTTGATGTAGCAGGCAGTGACAGAGGACATTAGGGACACAAACATTTCCACGATCCCAGACATTCACTTCAAACAAGTTTTGAGGTGGTAGTTGAAGCAGCTAAAACCAAATGTTTAAAAAGGCGAAGTGAAATGCCCGAACATAGCAAAGCTCACCCTTGAAACACACAAAAAACACCCAAAATGTAGGATTGGTACATCTTTCAGTCTGAAACAGCTGTTTGCTGCCCAAATCCTCACCTCACCAAGCACAGTCTCAGTCTCGTTTTGGTTGGTTGGTTGGTTGTTTTTTCCTGCCACTGTTCTCCTCCTTTTCACTCAAATCACCCTTCAGCTTCCCTGCTGCCCTGCTTGCCCACAGGAGACCAGTGAAAAACCCACCTTCCTGCTGTAAGCCTTGTGCCCAGTCATGGAGCAGCTGGGAGCATCCCAGTCCCTCACCATCGGGGTGCTGAAGTCTCTGCTGTCACTCAGTGGGGACAGACCTGTACAAGACACCAGACATGATGGAAGAAGCAGGAATGCTCCTGGACTTCTGGTGAAGAACTTACAGCTCTCTACAGCATCTTTGCTTGTCTCTACCTTGCTGGAGAAGTTGTAAGTGGCATCCATGCAACCCACTTGGCTATGGAAGGGCTCAAGGAAAATAGTGCAATACTCAGAAAAGCGGGAAAGATGTAGGAATTATTAGAGAGAGAGCAGCCCCTGCTATCAGAGGTGTGATGGTTGGTATAGGAGGTCTCTCTTCCCATCCTGTTGCAATTTTTTCAGGAAAAGCCAAAAGGGTTCTGGCTGAGCAACATGGAAAAGCATTGATAGAGACAAACCCTCACCTCTCAACTGATGTTCTTGATTGTTGGAAAGGTGCAGATTTGCTAGTGGCAAGTTTCTTACCAGTTGTTATGTTCTGTGAGTGCTGGTGGAGTTGGAATGGAATGGAATGGAGCAGAGTCTTATGCTCCAAATAGATATTCCAGGCTGAAGTGAGTCAGAAACTGGAGAGTTCCCAGAAAACATTTATTCAGCCCACTGAGCCAACTGCAACAAGTTCTCCAGAGGGGACCAGCCCAAATCATTATGATTTCAGTATTTTGTGAAATGTGTTTAAAATTCTTTCAGAGCAGCATAGTTAACATGCCTCGTTTTGTAAATCGTTTGGAGAAAGAGCACCAGAGTGTTTGGTCACAAATACATGAACACAAGATGCAGCTGTCAGGATTTATTCTTCATCGTTTTAATCAAAATTGAGTCAAAACTGACTTAAAAAATATTTATTACCAATTTAGAGGGAAGTCAGCTTAGTTATAAACAGATTCTGTCAAAATCCAGTCTACTTAAGACCTGAAGGTGTTGATGGAGCGTGATGACAGTAAGTCCATGCAGTTTTTGCTGTTGCAGGCAAAGATGGTGCAGCCTTTGCTGGGCATAGGAATGGTCTATCTGATTTTGTCTGACTGTCTATTTTCTGGGATAGTCCACAGTGAAGAAGACGTCATGGGTGCTACAATGAAATCCCAGACCCAGCTGCTATGAGTTGACTCTTCTTGTGAAAAGGGTCATGCATGGCTCTCATCTGAACTCCACTGATGGGTTTGACCTTGGACCTGGAACAATTCAAATGATAAAATCACTGTGGACAAGTGAATGCTGACCTGCAAGTCAGGTAGGTCTGTCTCCTCTGCTATGGACTTGAGATTTAACCTGGGACATCCCTTTGCTTCCTTGCTTTGGGTTCCCTTGGGTTTGTGGCCTTGTGGTGGCAGGAGGAGCCATACCTCCAGTTCACAGAGGATGTGGAGATTTCCTATGGCACATGGAAAAGAAAAGGGGTTTCCTCAGCAGCATTCAGTCATCTGGAAATGCAGCTATGCCTGCTGAAAATCTGCCCTTTGAAATGCCGAGTCAGTCCGGACACAGCTGCCCCTGTCTCTGTCAAACATTTGCTAAGCGCCTAAAGGGCAGGATCAGAGCACAGGTACCAATAAGCAAGTGGATGTGGGAGGCCAATGCCCTGACCCTTCCCAGCACAGGAAAAAACCCTCCCACATCTGCTCAGCCCATCACAGAGGTTCTGGTGCTGTCACACAGGCAGAGAGCCCAATTCTGTCCCAGGAAGCGCCTGTGTGGATTCCTGGAGGCTGGAGAGGGCTCGGTGCTGTCGCATGCTGATCCTGCTCATGTGCACCTTCCAGAGGCACCTGCTGCAGCCAGCACCGTGGAGCAGGAGCTGGACGGGCTGCAGGCATGTCCCCATGCAGTGCCATACCTGAGAACACATCCTCCAAAGGAAGATGCCACTGGAAGGGATGCAGTAAAAGGCTGGCTTTATTTGTTACCACGCAGCCAGCTCCTGTCAGCTCCAGACTGCTTCTGCAAGGACGCCAAAGCCAATTTTTTATTAAGAGTCCATAAATTTCCCTAGTTAAGAACTAAGCTAAGAACATTCCATACTGACACAAATTGTGACAGAAAACAACAGTGAACTCTTATAACAGCTAAAAAAAACCATGACAATGAAAAATTGAGCACTAGAGGACTACCTAGCCCTGAAGGGAGAGGGCTCTTCAGCATCCTTTCCATATCCAGTTCCACACTCTGCTGGAACCTCGCAAATTTTTGTAATGCACAATCCATAGCTGCCCAAACACTTTTTCCAAAGGGGTCCCCATAGGGAGGACCCACCATCCAAAAACAACAGGGAAGACTGCAGACAGACCATGGCTGATGTTGGCTGGGTTGTTGCCTTCAGCTCAGTGTGTGGCTCTTGGTGCTTGTAGTGAAAGTCATCTCTGCTGGAAAGATGTCAGACACCAGCTATTCCAATGTCTGGTGGAAATAGTTTGCTTCTGGCCTGCAAGCCTGTGGGATTTTCCACTCCTAAAAACAATACCAGCGTGCTTTGTCATGGGGTGGAACGGCCTCTCCCGGTGCATGCAGACATCGTGGCAATGCTGAGCACAGACCTCCTGCAACAGCCTCTGGCCACCGTGGGAGCAGCAGAAGGGATTTGGTGAGCTGAGGGTACCCCACAGCTGTGCATCCCCTCAGTATACATTCCCCAGCCCTGTGCAAGGAGGTCTTGCAGTTTCAAGCTGGTTTTTCCTCTTTTCCCATTGTCCTCTCAGGCTACGCAGGAAACAGGGGAATGGCTGTTTCCTTGTTTCTTTTGTTCAGTTGATCTCATAGCCCTTCCTTCCCAGTGGAGAGCCTCCCACAGTCCAGAAAGCCCCTATAAACCCAACACCCCAAGGTTCACTGACCAAACTTCACCTTTTCCGTTTCCTGGTTAATCATTCTCCCTTTCACGCTCCACAGATGGCAGCTTTGCAGGGGTCAGATTCAGACTGAACTATTTGAACTATTTGCTGACCCGAGACAGTGGTGCTGGGAGGAGGGACCGGTCTGGGGAGGCAGGAAAGGTCTCCTGCTCCTGCCTTGCTTTTCTTTCTCACTCCATCCCTGGAGACTCAAAAGCCACATCATGATCCAGCAGCAGCTGAGACAGCTCCTGCCAGAGAGGAAGGTGGACACTTCTGCTGCCCTCACACTTCTTGGCGGGTCAGTGGCAGCTGTGGTGGTCTGGAAATGGCTGGGCAAAAAGATGATCCAGAAGAAAATGGAAGAAGCTCGGAAAAGCCGGGATGAGGGTCTGAAGAAAATGGCAAAGGCTGTCCAGCAGTTCAGGGAGCAGGTAACCCGTCCTTCTGCGGGGTCTGACATTGTCCTTCAGCTCCTCCTGCCAGCTCATGCCCCCATAGCTTTTATAACAAAGAGATGTGCCAGCAGCCCCCAACAAGAGGAAAAAGGAGAGAGGGAGAAAGGGAGATCACTGCTCTCCTCAGGCTGGATGAGATGAGGTAGGAGTCTACAGCACCTCATTTCATCCAGCCTGAGGGGGATGTGAATTACTCACTAAGAAGAGGGTTTGGAGACCACATGTTGATGAAGCACTGGACCTTCGCTGATCCAAAACTCAGTTCTTTCAAAATCTGGAAATGTTTCTTGCCTCTATGGTTAGAAGTAAGAAAGCTTTTGCCTCTTCTTAATGCTAAGTTTACACATCTGTCCATAGCCCTATATCTTTGTCCCTAAAACCTGGCTTCTGGACGGCTTTTGAAGAGTCTTCAAAAGAGCTTTCACCAGCATTTCCAGCAAGTGAGACCCCACAACCCATCAGGCTGCCCAGAAGATGCCTGCTCTAACTTAACACTAATGAAGATAGGGCATTCAGTATCCCCTGGGAGCAACCAGGACATGACATGGGGATGAATGAGGTAGGCAGGCATCTAACCAGCATGGAAGTGGCCCCGAATTCCTACTGCAACACTCCTTTCTGAACACTTTTTTTTTCTGTTCCATTTGCTTTGAATATGTACTGGATAAACAAGCTCATATTTTCACAGTTAACATACCTGGAGATGAAGCATACCAGGTACAAGTGATAGGTATCTCCACAACCTCTTTTCTTAAAATATATAGAAATATATATATGATTATAAAAAAAAACATTTTTAAAAGCTGGTGGCATTGAGAACTGCCAGTCTTCTTTATCTGGGTAGACCTTACCCACCTGTGAGTCCCTGATGACCTCTTTGCAGTTTTCTGGGCTTGAGCTATTAGATGTTTGCCCTCAGCCCAGGCTGTCCTGCACTGCCTGTACCCATTCTGAGGGATGAAGGGACAGCCTGAGGCTTGTGTGCAAGGAATTTGGTACCTTCTGTCCTGGCAGTGTTTGCTCAGCTGAGGGTACCTCTTGGACAGTGGGTAAATCCCGTGGTGCCAGGGTGAAGGCATTGCCATGTCCTCTGCTGCAGAGGATGGACAAAGCTCTTCTCCACCCTGAGAGATAGCTGGGCTCCTGTGTTTGCATCCTGTTTGTTTGTGACATCCCAAACTCAGCATGAAACGCTCGGCAGCTCAAGGCCTGAACCCCCACATGCAGGGTCTGCCTTTCCAGCAAGCTCTGTTGATAATGTTGGCAAAATTCAAGAGACTTATCCGCTCTGAGCCGAAGTGTAACAGGAACTGCTGCCCTGGATCACCTTCATCTTCCCCTTGCAGGTTCCCAGTGTCCAGACAGATGCCATCCTTTCCCTGCCTCTGCTGGAACTCACTGAAAGACTCCAGGAAGGGTCTCTGTCTCCCAAGACTGTCCTCTACACCTACTTAGAGAAGGTGAGTGTCCATCCACAGTGAGATGGACAAATCACATCACTTACATTCTCCATACAGTGGTCAGTGAGCTGATGGCCGAGAGGATTGTTGGAGCTGGTGATTATGACAAGTCTTTAATATAACTGATGTCAGGAGAAAGATATGCTCTTTCTCTGGATCAGATCCATCACTGCCCAGTAATTTGAGATGGCTTGAGCTGGGGTGCCCTGGGGAGGGGTTTACCATTCATGCCAAGCCCTTGTTTTGTTGATGGAGGTAGCTACTGAATGCAGCTGTGTAACAGGGCTGATCTTTACTAACACCTCTTCCTCCACGTGTCCAACAAAGGCTCTGGAAGTGAACCAGCAGACAAATTGCTTGCGACATTTCATCCCAGAGTGTGAGGAGCAGCTCCAGGAAATACAACAGCAGAAGGAGAAAGGGCTGCTCTATGGCATCCCCGTCAGCATCAAGGATCACATCGGCCACAAGGTTCTTCCCTTTGTGCCTGTGAAGTGTCCCACCATGAGCTGGGCTGGGTGGTGGAGTGGTGGGACATGGAGAATGGGGTAGGCACCACAGGAAACCCAGCTATGACTGAGGTTGTGGCCCCACATCTTGTTGCAGCTGCAACCCTGGCAGTTAAAAACCTCGCTGTGGTCTAACCCCAGCAGGCACTCGCTCACTCACCCTCCCGCAGCGGTGGGATGGGGGAGGGAGAATAGAAAGGGTGAAAATGAGAAAATTTGTGGGTTGAGGTAAAGACAGCTTAATAGATAAAGCTGTGCACACAAGCGAAGCAAAACAAGCAATTCATTCACTGCTTCCCATGTTCAGGCAGGTGTTCAGCCATCCCCAGGAGAGCAGGGCTCCGTCATGCGTAACGGAGGCTGGGGAAGACAAACACCACCACTCTGAACAGCCCCCTTCCTTCTCCTCCCCCCAGCTTCATATGCTGAGCATGGTGCCACATGGCATGGAATGTCCCTCTGGTCAGTTGGGATCAGCTGTCCTGCCTGTGGCTTCTCCCAGCTTCTTCTGCACCTCTAACCCCGACACTGGCGAGGCAACACCAGGAGCAGAAAAGGCCTTGGCTCCGTGTAAGCCCTGCTGAGCAATAGCTACAACATCTCTGTGTTACCAGCACTGTTTACAGCACAACATTCACAACACAGCCCACTACTAGCTACTGTGAAGAAAACAAACTACCCCAGCCAAAACCAGTGCAGATCTCCATCAGCAGGAAAAAATCCAGGGGTTAATAGTAATAGACCCAAATGATTTCTCCTCTGACACATGACACCGTACAGGCTGCACTAAAGTTGAGGGCTCTAAGCCCAAATACCATGGCTAACTGAAGAAAGCGCTCAAACTGTGTTCATCTGGGATGAATATTCCCTCCCTGAACATCCACTGGTTGCTTCACTTGGACAGCAGGACACTGGGTTTGATCCTGAGCTAGTGCACCTATGGAGTTGCATTTGGGTCAGGGCAGAGAAGGAGCATGGAGGAGAGCAAGGACAGCTTTGGGAGAAGCTTTAACCCTATGAATGCTTGGCAGACCTCTGCCAAGAACGGAAGGAGAGGGAGTCCTTGGCCCTTCATGCAAGGACTCATGAGGGAGTGGGTTAGTATCAAACACACAACCCCTGAAGGGAATACCAGATCATCCTTCCCAAAGGGCAAGGGAACTGTGCTGACCATGCCCCTTGTCATTTCTGCTTTGTGCAGGGGCATCTGACAACTTGTGGGCTTGTACAGCACCTGGATACTCTGATGAAGGAGGACAGTGTCCTGGTCAAAGTTCTGAAGAGACAAGGGGCCATCCCATTTGCAATGACCAACGTGCCACAGTCCCTCTTCAGGTGACATACATCGTCAGAAATCTTCCTCTGGTTGTGCTTCTGAAGGTAAAATCCAGCCCTGCAGGTCCCAGGACAGGCTTCTCCCTGTCTCCTGGGATGTCGCCTGGAGAGCCCCTCTTCCATTAGCTGACAACAATCTCAACTGAAATAGCTTTCAGATAAGATTAAGAGGGAAAAACCCTACTATGAGTTAAAAGAAATCAAGTGCATTTGTGCATGGGAGGGAGAGCAGAGGCCCATGGGAATGAGCCATGTCCTGAGGGATTTATGGGACGAAAGGTTGGGACTGACTATGCCACACAGGCTCACTGCAAGGGAAAGCAAACAAACTCAAGGCATTTATTTGGCTGTTCCTGACAGCCTGCTTGCTGGTTTTCTTCTCCCCCAGCTATGACTGCATCAATCCCATCTTTGGCCAGACCTTGAACCCCCTCAACCACCAGAAGAGCCCTGGGGGCTCCTCGGGAGGGGAGGGAGCTCTGATCTCAGGGGGAGGCTCCATCCTGGGCATCGGCTCGGACATCGGGGGCAGCATCCGCCTGCCCTCCAGCTTCTGTGGGCTGTGTGGGCTCAAACCCACGGCAGAAAGGCTCAGGTGGGTGCTGGGGTCTGCCCTTCCAACCCTGCTAATTGTCAGACTCAGCCGAAGGGGACAGGGACTCGGCAAGCACTTGGAAGAAATAGAGAGGATGGTTCTTAAAGGGTGGCTTGCTTTGCTCGAAACCTCTCCCAGCAGACAACATGGTTATTTATATTTTGTGGGAAATGGACATGTTTTCACTGTAAATCTAGTCTGGAGATAAAAGTAAAAGGAGATTAAAGTGGTTGAATAATGCCAATACGGGACATTTTTGGTTAAACCAAAGCTAAGATTTGTTGGGATTTCATTTTGAGGTTTGTTTTTTTTTCCTTTTGGCCAAAATTTCTTGTTTCACATAAATCAAATACTTGAAATAGTTTCCTCCTGGTTCTGGTCCTGAACTGAAGGCCCTGGTATGCTATTCAAGTGTATTGGGAATATCTCCCAATTACTGAAATGACAATATACTTCTTTCTTTTTTTCCAAAAGCCTGTCTGGAGTGACTGGCCCTGTCAATGGGATCCTGGCAGGTACAAGAATTTTTAATTGCTTTTCTCTGTATCCTCTGAAAAGCCCTATGTCCTCCTCTAGGCCAGAGGAAAGCCTTGAGACAACCAAGATCTCTCCGGAGCCCGTCTGAAACATCCCACCTCATTGCCTGCCCACCCCTTGCAGCAGCGTGGCTGTGCAGAGGGGTGGATCAGATGGTTTGGCACATCCATCTGCTTAATGTGGGTGTTTGCTCCTGTCCCATTGCAGTTCCTTGTGCTGTGGGGCCGATGGCGAGGGACGTGGACAGCCTGGCCCTGTGCATGAGGGCGCTGCTCTGCGAGGAGATGTTCCGGCTGGACCCCACCGTGCCCCCCATCCCCTTCAACGGGGAGGTGAGTCCTCAACTCAGCAAGGCCTGTGTTCCTTTCAGGGTGCTGCACAGCTTCTTTCAGGGTCCAGTTGTCCTTACAGTACCGGTTCCCAGTAATATAGCTTTCTTTGAGGGCACAAATCGTAATTATTAGGGGGAAAAAACAGGCTCATCAGTAGTTATCCTGTCTGCCTCCTTAGGGGGCTTGTAGCTTATCAGATTGAGAGAACCCAGGAAAGAGTGGGGGAGGAAAGCAAACAGCTGAAGGAGCAAACAGATGAAGATTTTTAGGGGAAGATGAGACAGGATCAGAAACTGCTGCAGCAAATAACTGAGGGCATTTACTATCCCTCTGCTGCAGGACCAACTTCAGAAGGTTTTTTCACCTCTGTCCTTTGCAGCAGTGATTGAATCTACTGGTGTAGAGAGGCTGTGCTCTCTCTGAAGGCTGAGATGAAGGAGGCTGGAGAGAAAGGCGAGGGTAGACATTTGGGAAGGGGAATGTATGGAAACTGTGAGCAGCAAACCAGACAATTAGTTACTCCCTAACACCTGGAGCTTTTGCTCCCTTCTGCAGTGGGTGTCAGCATGGGGGCAGATCTAGCCCCCAGCAGGGTGGGTGTCACAAGTGAGTGGTTTAGGTCACTTAAAGAATCACTGTCAAAGGCATTGGAAAAAGCAGGTTTTAATATAAATTTGCAAAAAGGGTGACAGGTTCTGATGGCAGGGTTCACTCTGTTACTTATTATATAGATGAAGCACACAAAGGAAAATCAGCTTGGAGTCACTTTGGAATCATTTGCATGGAGACTGGGGATGCATAGGGCAAGGGTACAAAGGGAAGGGAAGACCCTACCATGAAGTCACAAGGTTCAGAGAGGACTCCATTGCTTTCTAAACTCCTGACAGAGTCTAGGTACAGCTGAGTCCAATCCTAGTCCCACACTGGTCAAGGGTTTGTATCTAAGGATTTAATAGGGAAATACAAGGAGTAGGGGGGACTCTCCCATTGAGTCACAAGGTTCAGAGAGGACCCCCTTGCTTTCTAAACTATTGATAAGAGTCTGGGTGTGGCTGGATTCATTCTTCGTCCCAGATCTAGCCAGTGGCTTACATCTAAAGGATCTTCTCACCCATTCCATTGGGAACAGGACTGCTAAACTGGTGTCTCTTCTCTCCAGGTGTACTGCAGCTCCACTCCCCTGCGGATCGGGTACTACGACACCGATGGTTACTTCCCACTGCCCCCCTGCATGCGGCGGGCGGTGAAGGCAACCAGGAGAGCTCTGCAGGCAGCCGGGCACCAGGTGAGCACAACCACCCAAACCACGCCCTGCTCTTCTCCCCAGGGTGTCCCCAGCTTCCCTCCTCACTGAGGAAATCACCCTTCAGAAAAAAAAACAACCACAAAAAAAAAAGAAAAAAAACACCATAGCCCCCAAATCCATCAGTGGGATAGACCAACCAGAGGTGTGAGATGAGGTTACCACAGCCACACACCTGCCCAGGGGGAAACAGCACGAGCAATTAGCAAACCTGTGCCCAGGAGGGTGTAACGAATCCATCTCTGCAGGACAGCCCTGGCAGTTGTTTTTCTCCTTCCTCTCCAATGCCCATGGAGATCTCTGTCTGTCCTGGACTACTGAGGGGAAAAGGCCATGGGGCATGGGAGGGGAAATACATACCCACATCCCCAGGCTGCCACCTAATCTTGTGTTTTGGTGCAGCTGGTGCCCTTTTCTCCACCCCGGATCCCCTATGTCATGACTGAACTGTTTATGAAGACGCTTTTTGCTGATGGAGGACGTGCTTGGTTGGATGTGTTGTAAGTAGGAGCCCTCTGGAAGCTGCAAACACCTCCATGCCCACGCCACGAGCATGACGCAGGCAAAACCAGCCCACCTCTCCCACCCCAAACAGCCAACACTCAGGTCTCTGAGAAAAGGCAAACAGCTTCTCTGGCATGATCCCCCTCTTCTTGTCATCTCTCAGCACAGGAGATATCATAGACCCAAGCTTGAAACCACAGGCGAATTCCTGCAAGACCCCAAGGCTGGTAAAGAAGATTCTGGCTCTGCTTCTTAAACCTCTGGTGAGTCCCCATCCCTCAGGATGGGATTGGGGATTTCCCAGAGTGGCATAAGTTACTGCACCCCTTTGTCATGTCCCTAAGGAACCTCCTGCCTTTCCAGTTTCCCCGCCTGGCTGACTATCTGAATGCCATGAGTGGAATGAGGTAAGACAGCATCGTCCCCAGGGATATCCATGAAAAGGGGGCAATACCTTCTCCTCTGAGTGTCCATAGTTGGGGTGGACTGGATTCACAACAGGCTCTGACCTGCTCTCTGCAGGGGTTGTCCCTCTATCCTGGACATGGCTTCAGCCTTTAGGAACCCAGCTCCCTAGTGCTGCACCACCCTTAGTGATACCCTGGCAGGACTGAGGGACTTGGATGGATAAGGTCACACAGGAAGCCTGTGGAAGAGAACAAGTATTAAATCCAGAGTACTCATCAAAGAAACCCTCTCCAGCACATCCAGACATTTGCTGCTTAATTGCTTGGGCAGATGCCAAAGGAAACTTTAGACTGTGAAAGCTGTATTGTTTTAAATAACTGTTAAAATCACCAGGGCTTATCAACCCAAAGGCCTATTTAAGCAGTTCCTCCTCCTCTTAAAGATGTTGCTATGATTTCCACTTGCAGGTCAGTGAAGGAGATGTGGAATCATCACCATCAAATACAGGTATGTTTTGAAGACTTTCCTCTCTGGCATCATGCTACAAGTTGAGGCTTTATGGCAAGTGCCAGGTTGGAGAGTTATTGTTTTGGAATGGGGTTGTGCAGGAGAGGAGGTGCTGGGGAGGAGACAGGATGGAGGAAAAGGTACAAAAGAGAGACAGGAATGGGTAAATGGGCCTTTGGGCCAGCCCAGACAGGACTTTATCGATTGCCCATAAGGTTCATTCACAAACATCCACGTTCAACAGTCCCAGCACAACAAAGGCTGTCCTGGGAGAGGGAATGGCTAAAGAGGGACCTTTCCACTTCCTGGCCACATGCTGTAGAGGCAAACATGCATTCCTCTGCCTCTTTCCTCGAGCACTGCTGAGTGCTGCTGCCTCCTCAGCTGTGCCAGAGCCCGGGGCCTACCCTGAAAAAGCTGAGATGCTCCAGGCATGGGCATGGGCTCCACGTCCTCTCCCTTCTCCTCCCCAAGGTGTACCGCTCCGAGTTCATCACCCGGTGGAAGGAACTGCATCTGGACGTTGTGCTGTGCCCTGTCCTGGGGCCTGCCTTCACCACGGGATACCCCGGGAAACTCCTCAGTAAGTGAGTCTGGGACCTTCCCGGGAGGGATCCCAGTGGCGGAGACTGGAGAGAAACATCAGGTACTGGGGAGCTTCACCACCCACCTCAGCATTTTATGGGAATTAGGAAGGAAAAGTAACGACCATAAAGCTATCTGAGCAGGTGGAGACAGACACAAAGCTCTCAGGGGCCTCAGTGAGCATGGAATGTGTAGGTTTGAAACAAGACAGGAGGCTGTGACTGGCTGGATTCTCTCTTCTGCTGCTCTCAGCTGCCATCTCCTCCACGATGCTGTACAACGTCTTGAACTTCCCTGCTGGGGTTGTACCCGTCAGCACAGTGACAGAAGCGGATGAGGAAGAGCTGAAGCTTTACCAAGGATGCTGTGATGACCCCTGGGACAGGAAGCTGAAACAGGTATGGAAAGTGGTGGAGCAGACTGACGATGGACATTCAAGTAATAGTTTCACTCAAACAGCAGGGCTCAAACCACAACCTCCCCACCCTCTGGGATGAGCCACGTGCCTAAACCAAGTTTCCAAAAGTTGCTGGAGGTCTGAGCCCCCCGGGTAACCCCTCACTGCTTGTGTACCCACTGCAGGCTGTGTCAGGAGCCGTGGGGATGCCCGTGGCCGTGCAGTGCGTGGCCTTGCCGTGGCAGGAGGAGCTGTGCCTGCGGTTCATGAAGGAGGTGGAGACCCTCAGCCGTGAGAAGAGAGTGGCGTAGCCCCCATGGTCCCCTCAGGGCCCAAGGGACAGCGCTGCACGACTGCCACTGGCAGTGCAGAGACTACAAAGAGGAGGGAAGGAGGAAGGAAACACCGTTTCCTGACCTCTCTCGTTGCCAATAAGCACGGATCCTGTAAGGAACCAGGATGCCATGCACACAGCAGGACTGGCTTCAGCTGGGTTCAAATGATGATAAATCTGTGCACTGCACCTTCCTGCAAGAACGGACATGGGTGAGTTTCCACCCCTTCACCTCCATTTCCATCAATGCTGCCCCTTGCAGAAGCAGGGTGGTGCTGAGAGAAAAGGGTTACAAAAGCTCAATAGTACTTTCTTGTTGGCATTGGAGTAACTTCATATGGGCTGCCCTGTGAAAAACACAGCCATGGCCACCCTCCCCATCACTGTATTTTGCTCACAAAAATAAAAATGTGGCTATTAAGCAACTCTTATCATAAACTCCAGTAATCCTTCACTGATGGCTAGGATTCTATAACTAGTACCTATTCAAAATCATACAAACACCTGCCCCCTGAACATTAAGTGGCATCTTGCAAAGGAGCATCCACACTTTCCCCCAGGTTTCCTACAGCTTTCCTGTGTGTGAAGGATAGCAGCAGTCACTGGCCTTTCCACAGCACCAAATCTCCAGCATCACAAATGTATTTTCAGCCTCAAAGAAGGGGCACCCTTAGGAACCTCTGATTTCAGGACCTCAGGCTGCTCTTTCTGAAGGCAGGAGATAAGCAGAGACAGATGCAACTCATTGATGCAGATGGTGAGATCTGGGACAAAGACTGAGATCCCCAGATGGTGTTTGTTAACCCAAACCTGCTCATGTAGGATCAAAGCAGTCAGACAGGAGGGAGAGAGCAGCACCCACACAGGGCCATTAATCCTGCCCCACACAGATGGATAAATCGCTCCCTCTGATAAGACCTCTCTTTCCTAGATTAAACACCTCAGTCTCAAACAGATAAAACATTCAGGAGACTTCACAGCAGGTCTTTCTCATTTATTTTCTATGTCTGCAGTAAAAAAGCAGACTTCCCTTGGGACATTTTAAAAAAGAAAAATAAATATAAAGCAGTTGTACTTTCCCTGGAAATCTGGGGTATTTCCTGAGAGCAAACAGACATAGCCTGCTGCCCCTTCTACATCCGATGTAATTTGCAGAAATACATAGGTCCAAAGTTGGCCGTGAGGTGAGGCAGAACAAGCTCCCCCAACCGGCAACCTGAGAAGAAGGAAAACGTGTCCTGGAAGAGCGTCCGAAAGTGGCTCAAGTCCTCGACGCGGACACTGATGTTAAACTGGGTCTCCGCAATTTCTACCGCTCTCTCGACCACGCACTCGTTCTGCAGCGGGGAGAGGGAGCACGTGGAGTACACCACGTCTCCTCCTGGCTTGGTAGCGAGGATCCCAGCCCTGCAAGCAAGATGAACACACGTGTCATCATAGGAAGAGAAGTGTGGGGAACAAGCATTCCCACCCACCAACACTGGGAAGCCAACAGGTAACTCATAGGAAGTGACAGACAAATCTTGAACTCCATAGACTCAGCAGTCTGTGTCACTGCAACGTGAGGACTGTTTTAGGCCAGGGCAATGAGTCAAATGGATGCTTAGATTGATAATGAATTTAACATGGGAGAGATACTCCTGGAGAGCGGCTGGAAGGCATAACCCTGCAGTCGTGTCCAAGGGAATGGGATAAGAGCATGCAGAGGGGAAGAGACTCTTGCAAGTCTTTCTAATCTGTTTCCATGTTGCTGCAGCACAGTGAGTCCATCCAGCCTTCCCAGCAAAATGAGGTGATGAAGCACCCCATGTGCTGGGAGATGTGGGCACTCAGGAATCCTCTAGGGCTGATCAGCAGGATCTGGGAGATCATCACCCAAAAGGACAACACTATACCTATCATGTTCCTTAGACCCTTATCCCTAGCTCCTTACAGCTACTGCTGGGGACAGGCAGGACCTGTGATCTGACCAAGAACATTTGCACCTTCTTACATGTATATTGCACTTTGATGTGTTCCGACTGGTGCTCTTCCAGAAAACTACACATGGTTTCCACATTTCCCAGTTGGGGATAAAGTAAAAAAGACATTTCAGTGCTGGCCATGGAGAGCTGCTACTGTAACACAAACAGCACGAGAAAGCAGCATCGAGCTCACTCACATCAGCAGCTGCAGCTGCAGCATGGGCAGCATCTGACGCTCCTTGGTTCGCATCTTGTGGAAGATGTTGTTGTGCTCCTCCATGGCAGAGTGCCTGTCCGTCGTGCAGGGCACGTCCACCAGCACCTGCAGCAGCAGAGGTCTCTGTCAGTCCCGTGCAGTCCCCTTGTGCAGCTGCCCCGTGCCCACCTCCTCCACCCTCACCACGCACAGGCAGCTCCCAGAGCCTGAGTGTAGCTGTGCACCACACTGAACTGTGATCATCTGGCTGCTCTGGCATCTTGGGAATGTGCAAACAGACCCAGAGATGGTGAAAAACATCCCACACTCGCACATGTCCTCATTTAATGTTCCTCCTCTGGGTGTCTGCCTGGGAGACGTCACCGCACGTGTTCCTACAGTGAGGCCTTCCAGAGAACCAAACCCAGCGCCTGAGGCTGGACATGGCTGAGAAAACAGAGTTATCTCATCTTCACACTTAACCCCTTCCAGGTGATGGACAAGAATAGGACTTCTACATGGTATTACAGAGGCAAATAAAGGTACAACTCTGGCTGCACGTATGCACCAGATCCTGCAGGAAGGGATAGCCGGAGCAAATATTACTCCCTGTGTGTCTTAGTCCTCTCTTCCTCTGCATTTAAGATTGTGGAAAACTACACAGTTATACTGTAGAATAAGCTGCTGCCTTCCTCAAAAAGAGGGTTTATCTTCACCAGTTCCCAATAACCTACCTTATGAAAAGTGCCACCTTCCACGTCCTGCCAGTCCCTTCCGTCGTAGGACGTGACACTCACAGTTTCCCTGACTTCTTTGAGAACATAGTTATGAAGGATCTGGTGCAGCCTCTTTGTCCTGGAAATGGAGACATCGTTGGCTGCCAGATGCCCTGCAGGGACACAACAGGAACACTGGGAACTGCAAAAACACACCTGATTCCCAACTCTTATAGTCAGAAATTATTAACGGCCAGACGTTAATGAGCACAGCACACTCTTCCAGCCTTGTTTAAGGATGGGGAACAAGGGAACACCCACCTCCACTTACACAAAGCCCAGTCTGCAGCAGAGCCAGAGTCTTGCCACCTGGAGCAGCGCAGAGGTCAAGGACAAGGTCATCCCGCTGCACATCGAGCGCAAGGACGGGCAGGAGAGATGCTGCATCCATGAGATAATAACCAAGGAGCCCCAGAGTATCCGGCCTGGAAATCACCAGTTTGTATAACACAGGCAAATGTGCAAGGGGAAAAGAAAAGAAAAAAGCAGTTGGAGTGAGGACTGGAATGTAGGGAAGCAGCCCCCAGGGCTGCCAGCGACAGTGGGTGGTCTGTCCAGGGTGTCTCACCGTGCAGGGTGAAAGCGCGTGATGTCACCCCTGGGGAAGGTGTAACACTTGATTTTGGGGCTGATGGAGGCACGAAACGGTGGCGATGTCTCTGTCATTGCCTCTGCCTGTATTACAGTCCTGCCCTCCTGGGAGCCTCTCCCTGCTTCCCTCGCAGCTGTGCCCTGCTGTGACTGCTGGGCCTTTTGGAGGGCTTCGGAAATGAAATCGGTGGCATTCAGCAGCTCCAGCTCCTGGGTGACGTGGTCGAGTTCAGAGAAGTTGTTGAGGAGGGCGCCGTACTTCTGCTCACAGAGCAGGCCGGCACGGACAGAGGGCCACAGCTCCCCCAGGTGCAGGCTGTAGCTCGAGTCGAAGTGGTGCAGGGCCAGTCTGGTGGACGGAATGCGGGGGGCCGTGGTAGCCTAGGAGGGAAAAATACCAGAGACGCTAAAAGACAAAATAGCTCAATATCCCGGTACCCTCACCCAGCCTCCACGTTTTTCTGGGAGAATCCAGCAGCGGATTCTGTGCTGCCAGAAGTCTATGGGGCCTTTCTGCTGCCCCTGAAAGCGGCAGGAACAGGTGAACCCCTACATCCGTGGGCTGGTGGTCCCCTGGGGAGGGCTCAGGAGTGCAATTGTGACAGGACTCGAGGAAAAGGCATAAAGCTGATTCAGGAGAGATTCGTGTTAAATATTAGGAGAAAGTTTTTCATCCAGCAGGTGATTTAGCACCGGAACACGTTCCCCAGAGAAGTGGCCAAGCCTTTCTGAGTTCAAGAAGGGTTTGGACAATGCGCTCAGGTACTCGGTGTGGTGATTCCTGGGGAGTCCTGCGCAGGGCCGGGAGTTGGACTGGACGATCCTGATGGGTCCCTTCCAACTCGGCACATTCCATGATTCCACGGATGGCCGAGCGGGGCTGGGGGCACGGGGAGGGGGAGGCATACAGGGAGAGAAGGGCCGCGCACTGAGCAGCGGAACGAGGGCGCGGCGAGAGGGGAGAAGTGGGGAGGTCAGAGGGATGCGTGGGGTGCCAAAGGGTGAGCGGGGTGGGAGAAGCGGGTGCAAGCAGCGCGGCTGGGGGCGCGGTTGCGCCGGCAGCCCCGTCGGGAAGGGATTCCCCCCTCCCGGCCCCGCTCACCCACTTCTCCTTGTGCCGGTGCCGGCGCTGCCCCGCTCCCTGCACCGCTCCCAGCACCGCTCCCGGTCCCCGGCGCAGCAGCGGGACCGCAGCCCGCCCTCCCAGCGCCGCCATCGCTCCCATCGCTCCCCGACGGCGCCTTCCGGGGCGGGACCCGGGAAGTGCTCATGGCAAGGAGGGAGGGATGGGGCTCTGGGAAACCGGGTCTGGTGGCAGCGGGCTGTACCTGAATGATCGTTGTGCCGTGGTTCTGTGGTTACTCAGCTGGGTTTGGGCTGGAAAGGATCCTGGAAACAAACGGGCTTCGCAGCGGGAGAAACGCGCGCGCGCGCAGCTGGACCTGGCGCACAAAAAACTCCCGAAAGTGACCTTATGCTTACCCTAATAAAAACCCGTTTCAGTCCACGAGGGATTAAGCTTGAAATCCACCAGCAAAAATGCTGTGGACTACTGCATGGATAAAGAACAGCCAAGTTAAAAAGGTGGCAGGTTTAATTCCACAAAAATTCTCACAGCTGAGAATTTTTGTGGAATTAAACCTGCCACCTTTTTAACTTGGCTGTTCTTCATATCCATGTAGTAGTCCAATTCTCACAGCTGACAATGTTTGTGCCCTGTGACATGTCGTAGTTTTCCTGCTACTAAATACATCCTGCTCGCCAAAGGAGGAGGCTGAGCACAGACAGGGCAGTCCCAGGTGAGCAGAAGGGGCTGGGGTTTGAGAAGGTGAAGCAACACCCTGCACCTCCACAGCCACGTGGTTGGTTTTCTGGGCAAGAAGGTAAAGCTGGCTCCAGCCAGGAGGCTCTCCCAGCCGCTGGCAGCAGCAGGAGACAGTGAGGGACAGGTGACAGCTTTCCTCCAAGGGTGGGAAAGGAACTTTTCTCTCCTAGAAAAGGGTCTTGAAAATAATCTTTGTGGCTTTAACAGATAAATTCTTCCCTGTGGGACTGGGCTGCAGCTACAGAATATCATGGCTGAAGAAAAAGGACGTTCCCACAGGTGAGGATGACTCCCTCCACTAAACTGACCTCTGACAACCCCTGATTTCACCTTAACCCAGTGCAAATCAGAAGAACAAGAACCTGGAAATAAACAGAAAGCACTTCCATGGAAACTCTGAACATTTAATATGGAAAATTACAGAACATTAACATGGTTTTCTTTGCACAGCTTCACATCTTCCAGTAGCACAGAGGCAGTGACACGCTGCCAGGAAGCCGTTTAGTTGACACTCATGGAGGATGGACGGCAGGAAGCAGAACTGTGATCCAGGAACCGCTGACACTGGCTGTGGAAGCAGGTGGACAATCATGCCCACTTTCACTTCAGTTTACTAAAAAGTTTGTGAGCAACCTGTAAAGAGAGAGAGAGAGACCTCAGTAACTCGGGGTTTAGCGATGGAAATCGGCAGTGTTACCACCTGCCTCTGGGTTTTCTGGACCACCAATGCACATGGCCCTGCAGCCTTCTCCTCAACTCCTCTCATGGTTCTGCAACAAGTCATTCAGGACAAGAGGGCATGGGCTTAAGCTCTGTCAGGGGAGGTTTAGGTTAGATATTAGAAAGAAGTTCTTTACAGAGAGAGGGATCAGGCATTGGAATGGCCTGCCCAGAGAGGTGGTGGATTCACCATCCCTGGATGTTTTTAAGATGAGGCTGGATGTGGCACTGAGTGCCATGATCTGGTAACCACAGTGGGGTTGGATCAAGGGTTGGACTTGATGATCTCGGAGGTCTCTTCCAACCCAGTTGATTCTACGATTCTATAATTCAAGAAAACTAACGAGACAACTTACAAAGCTTCAGCTCAGGTTAAAAAGGCTTAACTTTAAAATGTCAAATACAAGACCGAAATAGCCAAGTGCCACCTGCAGGGCACAAACCATAGGCATGACTTATTTAACCTACTGAATCCCAGCTGGATGTGATGTAACAAGAAGGAACTGAACATTTAATAAGAAAACACAGTTTTTCAGAGCTCCCTCTGACTGAACAGCTACCACGTGTCACACTCGACCTGCCCGCACTGCCAGCAGCGTGGCTGAAGGCAGCTCTGCCCCCAGCCCCAGCAGGGAGGCCGCACTCACACAGTGGTCCCTGGCGTGCAGGAAGTCGAAGAGCTCCTCCGTGCACTGCTCCTCCGTCTCGGACCGGGAGGACACCCTCGCGTCACACAGCTCCAGCCGCTCCCGCGCCTTCACGCATTTCTCCGTCTGCTCGCAGTGCTCCCGCACCGTGGTGAGGGGATCCTGCGGACACGGGGCTGCGCTGAGCACCGCGACACCCCCACAGGCCACCTCCCCCCCGCCCCTCCAGCCCCACTGCTTCAGGAGGGAGCCACATCGCGGCCCGGGCTCCCCGTCTTACCACCAGCTCTTCCTCTTCCTCCTAGGGAAAGAAAAGAGAGCACAGCGTTACGGCCGCCCGCACGCCCCGTGTGCCCGTCCCCCCGGGAGGAGGGGAGGATGTGAGGGGGCTCCCCGCTCACCTCGGGCTCCCCGTCGCGCCCCATCGCGCTGCCGCCGCACCGAAGGACTCCGCAGGGTCACCCGCCGGAACCGCCGCCGCCCGCGCCGGCAGCGGAAGGGCCGCCTCGCCAGGGCGGGGCTTCCCCCCGCCGCGCCGCCCTTCCCAGCATGGCCGCCACCGGCGGCCGCGTCCCTGACCGCGCCAGCACGGCTGTTGCTGCGCTCCCAGCCTGCTTTATCCCTTCTTCCCGGGGGCTGCTGCCTTGGAGCCGGCTCGGCCCGGCCGCCGCCCGCCTGTCCATCCTGCCCCGCCGCCCGGCGCGACCTTCCCAACATGGCCGCCCGCTGCCACCGCCCCCAAGATGGCGGCGCGGGGCGGGGGGCGGTGCCCGAGGCGGCGATGGCGGCGGAGCGGCCGCCCAGCCTGTTCGCTCTGAGCGCGGCCGCCGTGAGCCGCAGCATGGGCGCCCTGGAGCGGGACGTCTGGGGTAAGGCGCGGGCGGCGTGGGGCGGCGGGGTGCGGGACCCGGGCCTGACCCCACCCTGCCGCCCTCTCCCTCTCCGCAGCGCTGCCCGGGCACCTCCTGCGGGGGCTCCTGCCGCTCCTCACCATCTTCCACCTCGAGCGGGCCGAGGGCGCCGCGCGGAGAGCAGGTGACACCGCCAGGGACGCCGGAGAACCCGGGGGGGACCCCCGGGCGGGAGGGATGGGGCCCCGAAGTGATGGGGTGGGAGGCTGCGGGGATGCTCCCAAACCTGGAGGGACGAGTTCCACACTACAGGGACCCTCCGCTGGAGAGGGGAGCCCCTCCGGGCTGGAAATGGGAGCACAGACCCTCAATGGAGAGGGATACCCCCCGAACACCGTCCCTGCCACCGGGGCTGGGACACTCAGCTGCATCCAAACCCTCGTGCTCCGTCCCTCACCCCGGCAGGGTTCCCGCACCGCTGCGGGCCCTGCTGTAACTTCGCTATTTTGAGGACCAGCAAAACCTGACATTTTTAACTCGTGTCCCATCAAAGGCGTCGGTTTTCCCCCTGCCCGTCCTTGTGCAGCAGGTCTGGGTCTGTGATCCCTGCATCCCGGTGAGCCCCAGGGCAGAGCGCTGGGATGGGGAGAGGGGTGAAAACACCCCGGTGATGGTTTTTCCCCCCAGGCCTCTCGACACAGCCCATCTGGCGCCAGCTGTGGGATGATGTGATGAAAACCAGGCCGCCCAACTCAGAGGTGAGGAAACGCTCAGGTGGGAGAAGGGGCACGACACAGGTGCCGTTTTCCATGAGGTTTTGTTTCTGGCAACTTCTCAGCGATTGCTGGCGCTTGTTCATAAGCGTTTGCAGAGCTCTGGACCAAAGCGTGACCCTGGTAGCACAAACATTTTGGGAAGCAGGGTTCATAAAAGGAACAGAAGTGTGCAGCCACACCCTTCATCTCCCAACAGCGAGATTGCCAAAAGAATAAATTCTGTCTTCTGAGATTCTCAGGAAAACAGAGGATAAAACCAGTATCTTATGTCGTGCTTACACCTACGCTGGTAAAAACATGTGCTGATGTCTTAGAAAGCATGAGAAAAATACTTACAGAAGACAGTGAGTTTGCAGGATGGTTTTAGGTAGGAAAACTGAAGCAGCTTCATTGAGTCATCATCATAAAAGAATCATTAGCAGGCAACTTAATGACAGCCTGTAAATAGATGCTCAGGAAGAAAATTGCCGATGACGTGGTTTTTAATAGGCAAAAATGTGGCTCATCTGCAAACCACTGCATATGTTTATAAACTGGGCCAGAAGCAGAATGAAGAGAGCAATGGGAGTAAACTCAGGTTTTCAAGGAATACAGTGAGGAAGTATGTTGAGAACTAGAAAGGTGGTCTCAGTGGAGGTAGCAGGAGGGGTTTTTGGACACTGCATTTACCAAGTTAGCAGGCAGCAATAATTTATCTTAAAAAGAACGAGAAAAACACTGACTTCTTGTTCCTATGCCCTGTTCAATTGCAGAATATAACCTGTTGGAGAAAGAAGTTCCTTGAAACATTCTTCTCCAACGTTCTCCACGGAGTCTTGGACATTTCCTCCGACTGGCGCCTCAACGACCATCACTTTTCGCCGCTGCTCCACAGCTCCCCGCACGTGTCCCAGCTCACCCTCTGCAACATGCTGCAGGGCGCCGTGGAGCTCGCTGCTGAGCACAACCACAAAGTGCTGGAAAACCTGGCCGGCTCCCTGCACACCCTGAAGTTCCAGCACCTCCTCTCCTCCGACCAGTCCATCAGGCGTTCGCTGGTTTTGCTCCTCCACCGGCTGATTCACCACGGCTCTGTCAGCCAGGTGTCCATGTACTCCTGGCCTGTTCCCGACACGGTTCTTCTTCTTCTCATTTTGAGCATGAGCGCTGGGTTTTGGCGCTCAGGAAATGCCCTCACGTATCAGTGTAGCCTTTGCAGAGAGGAGGACAAAGCCCCAAGGCGGGAGTTGGTGCAGGAGCGAGCAGAGAGATACCGTGACGCTGAGAGGGAGGGGAGCGATGGTGAGAACCAGAAGGCATTCCCTGAGGCCCCAGCGGAGGGTGATGCTCACCTGAACTCTGTCCTCTCTGTCCCGAGAAGTTCTCCCCTGCAAAACCAACCGTGTGAGGAGGCCAGCAGTGAGGGGCCCTGTGACCACACCAGCATTCAGGGGGCATCTTCCCCTCGCTGTGGCCCAGGACAGCTGTCCTGTCACCCTGTTCTTTGGAAAACGCGCAGACGGCTGAAACCCACAGTGGGGAGGAAACGTCGCTGCCTCAGATGGAGCAGGGGACCCTATGCTGACCCAGAAGACCTGTATGATTTTGTTTTTACTGTTGCTAGAGAGGGTAATTCAGGGCTGCTTGAGAAAACCAGAACCACAGAGGGAGAAAATGCAGAGAATTGGACTAGTTCCTCCCCTGGATCTCCGTGCACTGGCCATGCTGGCTGTAAGAAAAGAGGAGGACCTGCTGGGATCTTTTCTCTGAAAGCTGCTCACCGCTTCCGAAGTGTGTCCACTCTGGAATTGTTCTCCATTCCTTTGACCGGGGAGACGTGTCGGACTCTGAGTAACCTGCTGAGCTCCTGGGTGTCTTTGGAAAACTTGGTTCTGTCTTACAATGGTCAGTGCTGCGAACAGGGTGCTTCCTTCCAGCCCTGCTCTAATGGTCTGAACTTGGTGCTCGGGTTTACCCTGATTTGGTTTTTACTGGGAGGGGCATTGTAAGAGTGTTGGTGCCTCATCTTGAGAAGGGTTTCAGGAGAGATGTTTAATCAGTGTGAGGACTTATTTGAGGGAGAGGATGGGGCCCTTCCGCTCCAGAATACCCCCAGCTTTGTGCTTATATGCCCTTCAGAGAGGGCGAAGGGAAGAGCCGGATCTCCATCTCCCACGTGCACAGCGTAGTTTAAGAACACGTGGATACAGCAGTCAGTGAGTTTAGCCTTTGACTCGGGCTGTGTGTGCAGCTCCAGCCACGTGTGCATCAGTGTCCATATGGACACAGCTAACGCCTCTCTGTGCCAATGCTGTTCCAGGCCTGGATGCCAACATCTGCTGCATCCTCTCCGGGCTCCGGGCCCTCTCCCGCCACCCGGACTGCCGCCTCCGCGTGCTGCGCGTGAGCGACGTCTTCTCCCACATGCCCTGCATGGAGCTCGTTCGCTGCGTCCTGAGCGCCTTCCCACAGCTCCACACGCTCTCGGTCAGCTTCGACCTCAAAAACCAGCTGGAGGGGAACAGGCCGGAGGGAAATCCAAGCTGCAGTGAGGCAGAAATCCCAGGTAGGGATCATCCTCCTGAGCGATGACCAGGACTTGGCAGGCAGATAGGGCTGTAAAAGCTTGGCACACGCTTCACGCTACAGTGTAACAGTGGTGTGTTATTCGGCAATTAACAGCCTCACCTTTCTGATTTAGGTGGTGTTGCAGTTTGTCACTTCCAGTCCGTAAGGCACTCTGCAGAGCCTGAGTCCTGGAGAAAGCTGTATGCCAGCCTGCTGCAACATCAGCTTCGTACAGGGCCAGTCATAAACCTGCTGGCTGTGACTGCCCACGGGGAGTGTATACCACCAGATCTGTAAATTGATTGGGAGCTTTTGTCCGTGCCATTGACTGCGAGGCTCTGAGCCTTAGACCGATCCTTAAGCAGAGTGAAGGCATCCCTTGATCATCTCAGTACCACAGATGATGGCAAAGCAGCGACCAAGCCTTTGGGTTGCAGCATGTGTTTCCTTCACCCTTATTAGCCCTGAATGGCCAGAAGAGCAGTGAGCAAAGTGTGAGCCAGTCTGCAGTGGGGTCAGCAAAGAGCTGTGCTCCAGAGAGACACTGACTGGTTTGTGCATAAAGGGTGACCTTTTCTCAAGCCTTTATTTCACTGCCAGAGCCCTGCAGAGATCAGTGGCCCTGTGGTCTAGCAGGAGTCCTGGAATGAGCCACAAGTGACTGACATGACCATAGGTCTGAGTTGACACGGAGCTCTGTGGGGCAGGGCACGTTGCACAGGCAATTTCTACCAACCTAAATGATAGTGGTGTCAGGCATACAGGCTTCCTGCTTATTGTGGGACCAGCTGCATTGAAGATGGGCGCTCCAGGCCAAACTCACTCATTGTTGCTTGTTTTTCTTCCCTTAGAAAGCTGCCTGGAGCAGCTGGAGATCCGATTCCCCAGGGAGCCTCTGCACACCACATTCCTGCTGCCAGTCCTCAAGGCATCCAAGTCCCTCCAGCAGCTGTCCCTTGACAGTGCCACGCTGCCCTGCTCTCAGGAGCTCGGGCTCCTTTTGGAAGCTCTCAGAGGTACTCTGCTACCCCTTGGGCAGCATCACTGGGGCACACACAGTGTAGCTTCCTTCAGTGTGGGCATCCTTGAAGTCTCCTGAGAAAAGGAAATGGGTGTCAGCCATCCCACATTCTCTGCTGAGCGTGTGGATGATCCTGCACAGCAGGATGGTTCCTTTTTTAATGACCCACAATCCGGCACAAATTACCTACAGTTCAGCTCAGTTTCTGGGTGGTAGCTGGGTCAGGGGTGTACAGTGCTTTACCTGACTTATTTTGCTTTTAGAGTGTACTCCAAATTTGAAGAAACTGAGCTTTCATGATGTGAACCTGGCTGAGCACCAGAAAGAAGTTCTGCTTTTGCTGCAGGATCCCGTCCTGCAAGGTACAGCAAACTCCTGGGTGCTGTTGCTTGGAAAGATGCTGCCGGTGGCTGCTTTCAGCTGGCTGACATTTAAGAGGTGATCTTTGGACGTGTAAGGTGTAGCCAAATGTCAACAGTCCCTGGAGCAGATCTGTAGCTGCTGGCAGAGTAGGAACGTGCCTGGTTCTTTGTGCCAGCAGGGCAGAGAAGAGCAGCTGCAAGGCTGATGTACGTTGCAGAGAAGTCTGTAATCTCAGCTATAAACCAGAGATTTTTAACCTGCAGAGCACATCAGCCTTTAACTGGGTCAGCTGGCAAAGCCACTTCCCTGGGTGTGATCTCAGCTGTCTTCCTGACAGAGCAGAAGTGCTGTTATATGCAATCCACTGCTGGAGTAGCTTTGTTATTCCATATGGATTAGGGACTGGAGCTGTCTGCAGAATGCAATCATGGAATAATGAGGCGCAGGGAGCACTCACGTGTACTGTCAATCCATTTCTTCCGTAGAAATCACCTTTTCCTTCTGCCGGCTGTTTGAAAGCTCCACTGCCGAGTTTTTGTCAGAAATAATCAATACAGTGAAAAGAAACTCAACCCTGAAGAGCCTCAAACTGCCCGGGAACCGCCTTGGTGCGTACTGAGAACGTTGCTGTGGGGCCTTAGACCAGCTCTCTTGGAGGGAACTTCAGGGCTGGAGCTGCTGACAGCTGGGGACACTGCAGTGCTGAAATTATCACGTGCATGAACAAGAGTGCATTTAGCTCACAAAGTAAGGAGCACCGAGTTCACTTTTTAAAGGCAAAATTTCGGTTGTGATCAGCAACGTACCAAGGGCCCAAGTTACAGTTGCTTTTCTCTGCAGTAAAGTATCAGCAGGTCTCCAGATCTGACTGAACACTGATCTTGAACAGGAACAGATCCAGCAGGAGATGTTCTGCCTCTCATTCAAAGCTGCAGATTTTGCCCAAGTTTGGGCATTTTGTGTCTTAACAGCTGTTGGCAGCCACTGGAGGGATGGGAGCAAGTAAAGTTTGTGTCTAAGTGGAACTGAATTTTGAGAAATGATAGGATTTTTGGATCAGAGGCCAAGTAGAAATGTTTGAGAAATTAATTTCAGGTGAATCCAGAATACTGTTTTCTGTTCTTTTAGTAAAATATAACAGAAAAGCTTGGCATAACCTGAACACACTTAATTTCTAAAACAAAGCTGCATATGGACTTCTCAAACAAAACCAGAATTTTTCTAGTGAAAACAACTGTCCTATCAGCAAATGTCTTCATTGCCTTGAACACTGTGCTCAGGGGGGTGAATTCACTTTAGGCCCCTTAGGGAGACAAACTGAGGGTGCAGAGATGGGCCCTTTGTGCGTTCCCATCATTACAGCCTCATTTCTGCACTGTTATCCCAGCCCTGTGGCCATTTAAAATTTCAAGACAGTTCCCAGTTTGCATCTAACAGTGACATTTCTCCCCTTTTAGGGAATCACAGGCTGGTTGCCCTCGCAGACATTTTCTCTGAAGATTCTTCCTCTTCTCTTTGCCAGCTGGATGTCAGGTATTCTGCTGCACTAAACACTGGATTTCTTGTTTGGGGAGGGAGAGAGCTGAACTGGGCTCTGACATCAGGAGAACCTGAGCATGGTTTTGTTCCTTCCTTGAGGCTCAGGTTGCAGACACGCAGGCTTGACAATTTATTTAACCATAGCTACTCCTTCAGCACCCTTGAATCCTGATTGTTACTGTACCCTCTGACAAGATTCAAGTCCAGCATGCAACTTGATATTTATTTATAGATCTATGCAAGGGAATTGACCTTTGAATCTCCTAGAAACACTAGGACCTGACACACGCTCTTCAGATTTTCTCAGAAGGAAGACATAAATGATCACTTACTGCTGAGGCTGGTGCTGGGACCTGTAGGTTGGGGTAAGCCCCTTGGTCCAGGCAGTTGACAGCTGCTGTGAGACTGAAGTGCTCCTGGCACTGCTTAGCCAGCAGCTTGGGTCCAGCAACATTTTAAGGCCACACCTAGATCTACCTAAGTCAGTGGTAAGGAAGATAACAAGTTTAAGGTTATCACCTTAGTTTTAAGATGTTTCCAGCCCTTCATATTACTGTGCTTCAGTTTTGTTTTTCACACTTTGTACTGTTGAAGGTGCCACTTAGCCTTGAAACATCCCCACGTACCTGCACTGGCAGTTACTAGAAGGAACAGCAATTTAAACAGCTCAAATTATAGCCTAGACTCTTAATGACTTTTTTTAATCTTTCTTTCCCTGGAAAGCTCGAATTGCATCAAACCTGATGGGCTCCTGGAGTTCACAAAGAAGCTGGAAGGCCACATCCAGCAGAGAGGGGGACAGATTCAGTTCACACACCTCCGCCTCTTCCAGAATTGGCTGGACCAGGATGCAGAAACAGCTCAAGAAGCGCTTCGGCGTCTCAAAGCTGTGTGCAGTGTGGTCAACGACTCGTGGGACTCCTCCCAGGCCTTTGCTGACTACATCAGTGTCATGTGATGGACACAGGAGCAGAGAAGACCCATCAGCTTGAACTAAGCAGTTTGGTCCCTGGCCAGGAAGATTGATTCACAGCACAGGTGGGGGTTTCTTCCCCTGATTCAAGCAGTCCAGAGTTGTGCTTGTCACTTTTCTATTCATTTGAAAGGGTATGACAGTGAAGTGACACAGGAGACCATGTGGGTCAACAGCTGTATTTCCAGGTGATCTAAACTCTACCACCTTACTTGGAGTACTTTAAGTGGGACATATATCAGAGGGGCTTCTGTGACTTCCTGCAGATTTCTGAGCAAGCAGTTATTTACTTCACTGGGTGTTGTGACAAATTTCATGTGGTTTCAGCCAGTGTCTCATCTCCATAGCCATCTCCATTGTGGGAGAGACTCCAAAGCCATCTGGTTGTGGTCCTTGGCAACCAGCTCTAGGTGACCTTGCTTTTGAGGAGGGCTATTGCACAGTATCACTGAGGTCCCTTCCAACTTCAGCCATTCTGTGAAATAAGAACTCCTTCCTCCACTTAAAGGGAGTAGAAAATAAGCTTAACAAAGCCCCCAGGCCTTGACCTTTTCCATTTGGAAAATTTTACTTTATACCAAAAAAAAATTCTTTATGTACCAAGTAGCTTGCTGTTTATTTGCAATCCTGTTGCCCTTTTCCAGTGTCTGCAGTCATTTTACAGAGGTTTTAAATAGTTTGGTCTTTTGTAACATTTTTGCAATAAAAAATATAAATAAGACCCATAATGTACTAAAGTGTGAATTTTATTACTGGCTGGTAAGGTGATCTCAATTAAAACACTCTACTAGATCAGGGGATCCTGCCCGTAACAAAGCAAGTGGTTTTAGAAATGAGTTACCATAATAGAGCCTGATTTTCTACTGCCTGCATGACCCTTCCAGTCAGATGTTCAACACACAAGCTAAAATTTTTTTCCCCTTGTACAAATCCTATTGTTCCCAAGTAATCAGCCAGGTTCACATTTCACAGCAGAAATGGATCCTGCAAGTTTTGATCAGCAGCTGTAAGCCACAGCTGTCAAGGAAAAAAAAACCAAACCAAACACAAGACTGCACATCAAGCGCTATAAAACTCCAGACCTAACTTAAACCTGGCCGAGTCGCAGGCACAGACACCAACAGCAGGAGAACCAGTGCTAAGTCAGATCAAGCATGCAAGGTCCTGTTACTCCCAGTACCCAAAGGGCTGTTTTTCAGGCACATAGTACAACAGCAGAGAAAAAGCCACGGACTCCTTGCTGTTGCAGCAGATTGAACACTGCCAAGGCCCTTCCAGCCGCTCGGAAGCCACGCTGTTCTGCTGTTCCACAGCCACACAGCAGTCCAGCAGGCACAGCTACCCACTTGCCCCTTTCCTTGAAAGGGATTAAAACTTGCCCCCACAGGGGACAGTAACCTGTTAGGGAATCCCTCGCTGCTCCTCGTGGGAGTGATGATGGAAAGTGAAGGTGACGGCGGCGTCCCACGCAGCCCTCAGCACCGCGTCCTGCAGCCCCCGCTTATCCGCGCAGTGGTGCCACTGGGACACGTCCGAGGTGCAGTCGGAGCCTTCGGGAGGGGGCCGTACCTGGTGCCCATTCACACAGCGGCGGCACTTGATCCTGGAAAACAGTCGGTACAAGATCAGTGCAAGGCTCCCCTGCTGCTCCAGTCTATGGGTTGTTTAAAAATACAGCCCCAAGGACATTTGGATTAACTCCCCTCCGCCTGTAACACCAACAACTGGATTTCCAGTTTCTGAATTACTACCGTGTTTTGTTTAAATACACAGTCACCTTCTGGTGCACGTTTCAAATACAGAGTGACTCACACAGTTTGGAAACCCGGAGGTTCTGTTTCTAATGTCACTCCCTCTCCACGTTTAACCACGAGGGAATAGTCCAGCAGCACCCAAAGGAAGTTCAGGTGGAGTCTCCCCTGAAAAGTGTGGGACGTTGCTTAGAGCAGCTCTGGAGTGACTGCTGCTAACTCCTTCTTACTATTGCATCAGGATTCCTGAATTCAAGAGAGCACACCAGAATGCTCCATCCTGGCTCCAACTACAGTCACCAGGTTGTGCTAGGGCTGTTCTGGAGATGCCCCACTGAGCTGTCACATAAGGGGACAAAGAGCAGCAGCAGCAGCCCTGCCAGCAAGGGCTGTTGCCATGCAGACTGGATACCTACACTGAGCTAAGCTTTGAGTCAGCTTAAAACTAATCCTCTTCACTTCCTGGCTGAACTAAGAATCTTAACCAACACAGTGAAGCATTTTTCCTGCACTCCCTGTCCTCTTTCTAGTGGCTACAATATCACAGGTCTCAGGAGTGGGAGAGTAGGGGAGACAATGGAGGATTGTTTTAGTCCCCAGAAGAGCACTTGGGTTGGCTTCATGAATTCTTAGCAGAGAGAAGCCCTAGCAGTGAGAAGCAGTTCAGCATTTGGAAGTCAGAAACCACCAGGAAGAGAGCGACAAGGAAGGATCAGGTTGGGCTCCACCAATCTGAGCAGCTCTGATCAGTTTCTCTCTTTTCACTAACTGCAGTTTTTTACAGTTTCCAACCACAGACAGCAACAAGATAGTTTGCTCACTTGTCCAGGCCAGCACAGCTGTTCTAAGACAACAAAAAGGTGGAACAGCAAGGAAGTGCTCATCTCCAGATAGTCAACAGCTCCAGAAGCAGAGATGCTTGGGACCCATTCTCTGAGTTTCCTCCTGCTGCCTGAGGAACCCCTGAATCACAAGACCAAACTGTGGAGTGGTTCTTTTGCTATCCCAGCCATTCACCATTCAGAGTACTCACTTGTCATGGGTGTCACTGGTGGTGGTCTCATTCAGAGTGAAAAGCTCCTTCAGCTCCCCAAGGGAGAAGTGCCTTTCCACGTCCTGCTCTTCATCCACCACACAGCTGCTGAGGGCCTTCTTGTGGGTCTGGCGTTGGAATATCTTCTCCTCTATGGTCCCTGTCTACATGGGAGAGAGTCAGAGATGAAGCACAATTGGGACACCAGTGTTATAGGAGCCCTACACTGAGAAAGTGCCACAGATCAAACAGCACTAAGCTGTCAGGACCCCTCAGTGCCTTGCCAAGCCAGTACAGATGACAGGCATGTTTTATTAAGTTGCACTCCAACCATGCCTATTTGGTTCCTGATCCAACCCCACTCTGCTTGTCTTTCACTGGGGCTACAGGAGTGGATGCAGTGGATATATGGATGAGGAAGAGGTGGAGCTGCCACTCGTAGCTAAAGCTCACACACTGCACCAGGTTGTGCTGACAGGAAAGAAGGGAAAGGAGCTGAGCAGCTACAGCTGCTCCCTGACAAAAAATCCCCAACACAACCTCCCAAAACGCAGCAACAAGGGCTAGCCCTGGGTGACATGAGCATCAGAAGTATTTGCTGGCTCACCCACACACGGATCAATCACACCCTGTCTGGAGGGAGATGACTGCTTGTAAAACAGATGTGCAGAAAGCCCAGTGTGCTACATTTTGAAGGCAAAAATCTAAGAGCAAAATGTCTGTTTTGCAAACAAACACAATACCAAGCAGGGGGGTGATTAGTCACGATTTGCAGACTGGTTTCCTAATTCTGAAAGCAATGCCTCCAAGTGCAGTCAGGTTAGAGGAAGAGATGGGCAAATAATGCTTGTTTTGTTAAAAATAATAATTGGTCAAGGAACGCAAGCTTACACTCAAAAAAAGCCAACCAAGCCCCCCCCAAAAACCTCAAAATCCACATACAAAAAAAAAAAAAAACAACAAAAAAAACCCCAAAACCCCAAACAAAAACCCCACAAAACAAAACACCAAAACAAAATGAAACAAAAAAACCCAAAGTCTGAACTAATGAGAGGTGGATGTGAACAAGAGCAGTGAAGTGACATTTCTGAGCAGTAATCACTACTGGTACTGATGGACAAAGTGTTACAGTAGCCTGAAAAGACTACTCTCCTTCATAGTTTTCCACCACAGAGCAGCTACCCTACCTGCTAACTGGCAGCCCCATCCCAAATGCTGGCTGCAATTCCAGGAATGTACTTGTTGTTTCTTAAGCACACATACACCCAACTAAAACAGGCTGCAGCCTGAAAAACAGCAACTTTGGCATCAGACATCCCCTGAAATTAAAGAAGTCAGATGCCTAAATGACTTCAAAAGAGCATCTCTTATCTGCAAAGGCACAGTTGTTTCTATTTCTCAGAAGCCAGACACTGTTAGAAACCAAGGGCTGCAGTAATGACCCTCCAGCTAGAGCCTTCATGGTTTTTCCATGGCAACACATCTAAGGGTAGGAAGCAATTAAGTTCCAATCAATTCTGGTCACCAACACAAAAAAGAGTTCTTTCCCTCCAAATCACCGCAGCTGCAGCCTGGGCTGGCACCCAGAGCTCCAGGCTGAGGAGGTGGGAGGAGTGTGACTCACCGAGAGCAGTCGGTAGATGTAGCACATCTTCTTCTGGCCGTCCCGCCACACGCGAGCCATGGCCTGCTCGTCGTTGGCCGGGTTCCAGTCGGGGTCGAACATGACCAGCCTGTTGGCCCCAATCAAGTTCAAACCACAGCCACCTGCTTTGCTGCTTAACATGAAGATGAACTCGGGGCTCTGGAAAAAAGGCAGGCTTGGGTTAGACCACAGAGGCAGCCACACTTTTTGCTCACAGCCCTCAGAACCGGCAGGAGAGCCGCTCGCATCTGGCAGGTTCCACTCACCGAGGGGCTGTTGAATCGCTCCACAATCTTTGCTCTCTTCTTGATGGACATGGTGCCGTCCAGCCGGACATATAAATACCTAGAACAGCATTTACTACAGTCAGACTGCTGCCATATTTAGAGCATCCTACTTATAAGAGAAAAATCTGTCAAAACCAGCCCTGTAATGGGCTTTAGGAACTTTTGCAGAGGGCCAGAGTTTTTCTGCTGAGTGACCCCAGCAGACAAAGCTCAAGCCACAGTAGTTCCAGTTCAGGAACACCTGAGGTACAAGAGATCATGAGTTCCTGCTGATAGAAAGTGTAGAAATAGACAGTTCTTTTACAGTGTAGGCTGCAAGTACAGCCTCACAGGATTAAAGAAGCAAAGCCCAAAGACAAACCTTCTGCTCCTGCAGAGCTTTTCAAATAGATCCAGTGTCTGAGTGTAGTTCGATACTAAAACCACCTTGTCATTACTGGTGCTTTTGGTGACAGCAAGGATGTAATCCAGAACCAGCATCTTTCCTGGATAAAAAATGAAAGAAAGAAAAAGCTAGAGCAGGAGCCACCAAATTCCAGACCTTGGAAGGGCACTTGATTAAGATGCTAAATACAGTCTCATGGTTGCCTCTGCTAGTCAGCACATCTGTACTGTTGAGTTCCACAGTACCTGAAAGCTGGGGCTCCACAGATTTGGTGCTGTAGCCAGCAGGGAACAAGTCCAGGGCTCCCATAAATCCTTCTTCCTCTTCCACACACTTATCATGGATAAGAGCAGGGTCTGAAGAATCAACAGAGCTCAGAGATTGTGGAGTGCACAAGGGAGACCCAAAAAAACCCCACCAACTGTGCAAAACCCAAATCCACTCCATGACTGGAACAACTCACGATTACAGAGCTTCTTCAAGGACGTGATGGAAGAAAGAGATGACACACTGATTTTGCCCTCCTTCAGCTCCTCCACTGGCTTGGCTTGCTTCAGGAAGTTCTTGTACAGCTCAGCCTGCAGAGGTGTCAGTCTGAAACAGAACAAGAGCTCTGCAGTCTCGGCCTGCACCCAAAACCAAAGCCCATCCTGCTCCATCTACACAGTGTGTTCCTTTCAGCTCAATTTTTTTTTTAAGCTATAGCATGGACAGCCTAGAACAGCCCCAAAGCTGCTGGTAGAGCATTGCTGTCTCAGCTCAGAGCTGGAAGAAAAGTTTGCAGATGCCCTGCAGGACCCAGGGCTCTGCTGTACACCACCAGAACCACCAGCTGCAGGTTGTCCATCCTGCTTTCAGGAGGAAAAGCAACCTATTGCCAATGGCTACAACTTCATTCCTAGAGGGAAGCAGTTGCAAGAACTGAAGGGCTCTTTGCAGCATTTTAGCCCTTCCTGTTGCTCATCCCATTTCCCAGGCACAGTACGTGCTTTTTGGTACCTGCAGCAGACCACCTGCTCAATCTTCACTGGCAGATATTTGGACAGGATGTCTGAAGTTCTTCGAATTAAACATCTGCAGGGAGAGAAATCAAGATCAGACGCTTGGATGACATCAAACCCCTGTTTTATCACTAGTTTTCCTCATGTGGTCAAAACACAGTCCCTTTGACATCTTATCTCCAGAAGAGACTGAGACAGTCCAACACACGGCAAAGGCCAGACACCCACCATCCACACGAAGCCATGTCACAGAGCTCACTGTCTTTGATAGTCTTCCAAACACGGTTCATGAAATTTGGAGAGCTCAGGCTTGATTCCACCTAACAGAGCCCAGTCACTTACAAAAGAAACTCTGCTCTTCCTCAAAATACCAACAGCATTCACAGTTTGAGCTACAAAGACCAGTAGCATGGACAGTAAACAAGGACAGGAATTAACCATTACACGCTGTGGGCATAACCCAAATTACAAGCAGGCAGCTTCCCACTTAGTAACTTAGTAGCCATCCTCAGCCAAAACAGGTTCATTGCCTGGCCCAAGGTTTCAGCAAAGGGCAAAATCCTTTGGGGCTGTGGAAATGCCCCACGGAGCAGTTCCACCACACTTAGGAAAAGGTGGGATGAATTAGAAAAAGTGCTGAACTGAGCAACCAGAATAAGAGGAGCAGAAACCCAGTTCTGCCAGGAAACATCAAAAATATGTTACAAAACCTACAGAAGAAAGACAGCAGGGATGTATGACAGCCCCAAAATCTGTCAAAGGCTGGTAAATAAAGGAATAATCTGATCTCCAAACCCATAAGCAGAAGGATGAAAAATAATAGGCTTAAACTGCAGTAAGGGAGATTTATGTTATACATTAAGAGCATTTTCTAACTGCAAAGACAGTGATGCCCTGGAAAAGGTGTCCTAGGGAATTGCAAGGTCTTCAGTGCTGGGTGGGGGTTAAGTAAGAGATGGTTTAGGCCTAACACCTTCTACCTTAGGACAGCAAGACGGATTAGATGCCTTCTCTGGGGCCCTTCCAGCCTTCCAGCTGTGATTCCACGTGTCTTTGCATCACCACCCCATTTGCAACTCCTACCAAATTTATCAGATTCATCTGTTACTACTTATGTGCTTCATCTTCCCTATTTGTGTACTATGACTGTTGCACAATAAAAGAAAGGACCTCAACAGAGCCAGGCACAAGCATTCCTGAATATGCTTTTACACCCTTTTTCCATCATCTATAAAGAGAAATTATTGCATCTAAGGAATAAAAGCTCTTCTCCTCCCAGCCTTTCCTTTTTCTTAGGCTTCTGCAGCTGATCTGAGTCAAGGTCAGGACTTTCTCTACAGAGAGAGATTGCACTTAGTGTGAAATTCAATTTATCATGACTATGCACTGCAGGATTGTATTTGTGATGGTTGCAAAAGATAGGATTAAAAACAAAAGGAAAAAACAAACAAAAAACAAAACCACAAAAAGACAACAGAAAAAGAACTGAAGACACCAGCAATGCTGAGAATCCAAGAGTCTTCTCTATAAAAAGCTCTTAGAGCCAAGCAACTGCCAGCAGATGTGAATAAACTGGTTGTATTCATGAAAACAGGTTTAAACAAATACCAAAAAATCAACCAAAAGTAAGTAAGACAGCATTTTACATCACAGAGGTGCTTCTTGGGGAGCAGGAGTCCCATCTCTAACCCCAGTAGTCTGTCTTATAAGCCCAACAGAGCCAACACAACCATGAAAGTGTGAGCTGGACTCTTGGGGGACTCGGGCAATCAACAGCACAACTGAGTGACATTCCTTGTACTCCACCTGCTACTCAACACCTGGGCTGGATGGATCTCAGGTCTGACCCAGCCCACAGTTGTAGTTATCTCAACACAAATAAAAGGATGGTGCCTGATTATTCAGATCCCAGGAGAAAACAGAAACATTAGGATCAAATAAAGATTCAGTACCTGAGGGTACTGCTTGGAGGTGACTGCAGCTGACTGTACCGTGCCAGTGCTGTTTTCCAGGCTAAAGCTACGTGCTGTATAGATCTCTTATGCAATAAATACTTGCACAATCACTTGCTGAATAGACATAAACAGCAAGAGAATTCATTGCAGCTACAACTGTAATTTGGAAAGATAGCAGGGCTTATGCAAAGGGCTTATGCAAAAGCTCTGCAAAGAGAAGAGGGATGAAGTTCACCTGTTCACAATACTGATCAGCTCTTTAAGCCTCTCTTCTCCCTTGTGTCTCTCAGCTTCACTTGCATCCGCATCTCTGCCTTTCAAGATGGGCATTTCAAAATGTCTTTTAAATTCCTGTGCAGTACCTGTACAAAACAGAAGTGAGAAGGTGACAACTACAACCAAATAACCTTTGATCAGTATCCCACAGCACCAGCTATCACACCCCAAGCACGGAGACCAGCTATCAGATAAAACAAACCCTCACCCCATCCATATGACTTGCTTTTCTTTCTAGCCAGGAAAAGATTCAAACAAGGCAGGCAGATGAGTACAAAACAGAAAATCATTTTGTACTCCAACAACAATGCACAGCCAAAGGTCACACAATTTCACTTAAACCGTCGGGCACATACTGTTTTTGTTCACATTCCAGCTGTACTTTTACTCCCAGAGTTTGTCCTTGCAAACAACAGCACAGGCATTACGTGTGCCTACTCCAAAATTATCTGTAATCAGTTGCTTATTACTGGTTACAGGGCTGAAAGTGCGAAAAATGACTACTGCATGCATGCAGCTTTGCTGCAGTAGTTCCACCATTAACATCATCTCAGGAAGAACAAACTGGAAGCACGGGGAGACTAATCCTGCCCAGAGCACAGGTCAAGGGGGAGGTGGGTGAAATCACATCAGCTCCCTGTAATAGCTACCTAAAATTGAAGCACATGTAGAACATCCAGCGCCCCCATTCCATCCATTCCTTGAGAACTCCTGGGGGCAGAACAGCTGAACAGAAAAAGACACAGCCCAAATGCCACTTCTAAGACTAATAATCTGATGAACTGTGTTTAACTCGAGTTGTGCATGCACTAGAATTAATGAGAAGCCTTCTTGGACTGGATGCCCAACAACCTGAGACAATCATGTGTGAGGAGTTATAGCAACAAATAAATGATTTACACATTTGTTTGTTTTCATTCCTTGGCAGGAAGAAAATGACCTCTCGACAAAGACAAGCTGTTCCACACTGAGAAGGAGCAGACCTGCTCCCAGGGATGCAGGGATCAGCCTGCCTCAAGATCAGCCACGCAGTACTCAGGTTCATATATTCATTTCACCTTGACTGCTTTCCCTTCCAAAATACCTGTTACACTGGTGTACTTTAAATTACAATCTTCTTGAAACAGAGCTCTGATGACATACAGCCTCTAGAACAGAGGACCTTGATCTAGACTTTCTGGATACAAACTGAGAATAAGTCTCATTGAATCACAGAATGGTTTGGGTTGGAAGAGACCTTAGAGATCACCCGGTTCCAAGCCCCCTGCCAGTCTTTCCTCTCACTAATGTCTCAGTTGTTGCTGGCCAGCAACTCCCCCTCCCTCCTATCTCTCACACATTCACCTCTTACCAAGGATGCCCGAATTGACAAAGTGCACCAGGCTGAAATACTCAAGCAGGTCGTTCTGAATGGGGGTGCCCGAGATAAGGACTCGTCGAGGTGTGTTTAAGCTGTTGAGAGCCTGGTACGTTTGGTTTTCAGAGTTTTTCAGTCTGTGGCCCTTTAAAAGAACAGAAAAACAGGAATTAAAACTGTGGCCCTGTTGGGAAACAGCTTGGAGAGCCTCATCAACACTGATATCCTGTATCTCCCACAAGGCATCTCACCGTTTTTCCTATTCCCAGTAGTGGAGTAAGTGTTGCAACAGATTTCTTTCCAAGGCAAGAATCTGGTGGAAAACCTGAAGCCATCATGTGAGGAAACATGACATTACAAGCTTCCCAGACCAGGAATATCTGAGTCACACCCAGGCAAGAAGGCCTCCCATGAAAATAACAAGCACCACATTATATAAGAACTGTTTCCTGTTCAAGGACAGGGATGTTTTCAGCTATCAATACCAGGCACTGAACTCTGGACCAGTAAAACTGCTTCACCCAAAATCAAGATCACAAGCCATTCAGTGCACTTATATCCAGGATTGCCAGACCTTTGCACACCAATAAAAAGAGGTTCTGCACCTCTTACAGGGTAACCTGAATACAGGCCCCATTTCTCACGCCTGATAAAAGCAACTTTATTAGCATCTGAGTGCTGTGTAGGACAAAGCACAAGTGATAACATGCTCTTTACGAGTGCCAGACCACATCAGAGATGAGTATTTATTGAAAATATACAGAAGACACAAGGCCAAGGACATGCATTCCCAGCATCTCCCTGTCTGCTGGCCCCATCCCAGGGGCACTGGGAAATACAGGCAGTCATGGACTGAGTAGATAAAAGGTGTACGGGAATTACACTCACGAAGGTGTTTGTTCTTTATAATCTCCTCTCAGCACTGTTCTAGCAAACACAAAGCCACACCACTGGGTGGCACCACTGTATAACAAATCCCCTCTATCAAGCAGATGTGGACACCTCAACAGCCACCAGATTGATCGTTTCAAGGAGGAAGAGGACATTTGTTTTATTTTGTCCTTCAAAGCATCTCTGGCTCTCACTACCTATAAATAGGGAACTATAAACGAAAAAAAAGCAACTCGATTTCAGCCATGTGAAAGCAGAGCTTGACAGCACAGGCTTGGCAAAGCTTGATCCAGCAGTTGGTGAGCTGGGAGTCAAGCCAGCTCTGTTTCCTCCTGAACAAACAGTATGAGGTGACTCCTTACCTACCTCTCCTACCTCGACCCCAAGCATGAGACTACTGAGAGGGGAAAGAGGGTCCTGCCATGGGACTGCTCTTCAAACTGCCCCACAGGCACTTTGAGTAAGATGGCCAGAATAAAATGGCTGACATCAGCCAACACTGCACACAAGAGATGAATCCCAGAATTATTTAGGCTGGGAGAGACCTTAGGGGTCTCCAGTCCAACTTCTTGCTCCAAACAGAGCCAAGTTAAAAATTACTGGGCAGAACATGAGGCCAGGCCAAACAGAAAGTATTTCTCACTTTAGTACAGACAAAACCAAATGAAAGCCAGATCAGTGAGCCAGGATCTCTGACTATGATCCCAACAGTCAGGCAGGCAGTGGACCTCCTGCTATGCATTTCACACTGAGAAGGCCCTAGCAGGTGCCCCCGCCCTGCCAGGGACCTACAAAGCGGCCACAGTTACCACCAACTGGATTTTCTTCATATCTTGGCGCATGAAGACACCCTCCCTTGTTCAGGCTTACAGAGTCTGTTTATCTGGTTACTCCTCAGAGCCTCTCAAACACCAGAATGGGTGTTGTCCACAGCTAAGCCTTGTTTCCCACTGTACACCTCCCTTTTCAGAAAGCAGATCCAGTTTCACCCAGATCTTGAGAACATGCCAGGAATGGATTCTCCTTCAAGATGCCCCAGTACCTCATCACATATGACCAGCCCAATGCTGCCCTTCTGTAACACCTCGGCGTGGAGTCGGAAGGTTTCGTAGGAGATGATCAGGATGGGGGAAGGCACTCGCAGGCCACGCTGGTTCATAAAGCCAACTGCAGATGGAAAGGGGGGGAAGGAAAAAAAAAAAGAAGGATGATGAAAACCAATAGAAAATGAGTCAAATAGTCAAAACTTTTGCCTTAAAAATCTAGGAAAACCTGCCTGTTTCAACACCTAGTGGTTTTCAAATACTCTGCAGCACCCCTTCCACACATGTACATCCATGCTCCTTTCCCCACACTGTCCCCATTTCTACTCCACTCCCACCTCCTTTCCAGCCTTGTGGCTGGAGAAAAGTAAGAGGTGCTGGGGCTGCCCTAACTTTAACACAGGTGGATCTGGATTATTCCAGAAGATCAACTATTACTAAGCACATGAGGATCTGATCTAAACACGTTAGTGGAAAGACTTTTATCCAGAGCTCTAGTGACAGCTCGCAGATGTTCACATCAGCTGCTCTGGGCTTCTCCCAACGCAAGATTTTGACCAAAACCAGCCAAATGCACAGTCTGCAAACATTTCTGTACCTAGTTTACGGTCAATCTCTTCTTTGGAGCCTCCATCGATGGCCAGGGGCTGGATCCTCCCTCCCAGCCATTTCTCCACCTCGTTGTACCAGTTCCTCACCAGGCTGGAGGGAGACACCACCACGGCTTTCTCGATTTCAGGCTTGCAGTCCGGGCTCTGGCGGAGCAGCGTCCACATGAGCGTGATGCACTGCAGGGTTTTGCCCAGCCCCATTTCGTCTGCCATGATGCAGCCGTGGCTCCCGGGGATCCGCCGGCTCGTCACGCAGTCCCACAGGAATTTCACTCCCTGCCAAAAGAATCGTTCCCTCAGAGCAGGATGGGGACACCAGCAGAACGACAGCTTCATTACCACAATGCACAGGAGTGACACCGCAACAGCCAGCACACACACGTCCCTGGGGACACGCAGTGTTCTAATGAGACAGAGGGAAATCACTCGAGACACAACTAAAATGCAGCCAACATCTGGTTTGGAACAACATTACTGGTGCCAGCACGTACCTCATAACACGCAGGAAATCATACTACATTTTAATTGTACAGTTATAACTAGTTTCCCGATGTGAATTGCCAGAAATTTCTACCCTTGACTGCATTAGGCAGGGCCAGGCCACAAACTGACATGCATTGATCACTTCAAAGAGGTTAATCATCTTAACGACACCCAATTAGGTAATTTGAAAAGCACAGATTTATAGAGTGAGCAGAATTGTTTCTGCCACCCGATTAATTCCCAGGATACTCTTAGCAGCCTTCATCACTTCTGCCTAGAAGCACAATGACTCACCTGGGGGCTCAAGGTCCAAAGCAGATTTAGCTTTAGAGAAGGCACAGGGCTGAGGTTATAACCCACGTCACATGGTGGGAGAAGAGCTCAGCCCTGCATTAGGCTCTGACACATCACTGAGAGATAAAAGGGAGGGAAAAGAAAAAAAAGAAGAGAAAGACTCTGCAAAATGTTCCTCTACCATGTGATGGTAAGAGAGTCAGAGAAAACCAGGGCATTGTGCTGGGAAAGTACAAGCTCCCTGCATTGTGTCAACAGAGCAGGGAGTGAGGAATACAACCTAAACACCTGCACAGATTCACCCCTCAGTACTCCACTACTTAGGACTGGAAGACAGAGCACCTTCACTTGCATTTTCAAATCCTTTTCTTTCTTTCTTAGGACCCTAGCAACAGGTTAATGGAGTTTATTTAAGCTAGTTGAACAACTATGACATATATTACTACCTACAAGCCTGCATTTGGCTGTGGATCCAGCACCTGGGCAAAAGTCACAACAAAGCTGGAGCAGAGCTGTACAACTCTCTATAAGAATCACCTGCATAAAACAGCACAGGAATCTTAGCAGGCAGAGATTTACTCATCAGAAGAGAAAGTGTTATATCAGACATATCCACCTGCCAAAAAACAGCAGAGACACCAATAAGACACAATAACTTCAAGTACTTGACAGAAGCACCAGCAGGAAGCAGCTCACACAAAACCAGAGTGCCTCCAGCTATGCAGCCAGGGACGAGCATTACGCTGGGTCACAGGTTCAGTGCCAGCTCTGAGATAAAGTACAAGCTATGAGCAGCCTACAGCACTCTCAGAGCCATGTGAAGACCTGCCACGCAGGGACACATCCAGCTTGACCTGCTTAGCCTGCAAGATCAGCAATCACAGCTTCCATCTGTGCTGCCTCCAGGCTTAAATGATAATATACTGCATCTGGGATGAACTTTTAACTGTCCAGATAGCTGCATTAGGTATTTGGAGGTTTGTACCCACTGCTGCCGTATTGTGATGTTGCATATATTTACAACGTATTTTTTGGCACTCTCCACTGTCATGTGTATGTCAGAGACAGCTCACACCTATAAGGGGCAGCCTCCAAATAAAGCACATTGAAGTAGGAACCTACTCCACACTGTGTTGGGAAACATGGTACCAGAAAGAGGAACTTCAGTGTTTCCTGGCTCGGGAAGTGCAGATCCCATCAGTTCTGCTGACCAGTCGTGGACAGTCTGCCCTGCTGGACCCAAGTCTGGGCTGCAACAGAGTTTATTGCAACTATATCCAATCAGCATATCTCCATCTCCAGACATCAAGGTAAGCAAAGGCAGGACTTTCAGCCCCGACTCTTTGCTTAAAAAAGGGACAAAGAACATTGGCAGCACTCAGGCATCTAAGAGGATGGGTAAAACCAATGTCCAGTTCACACGTGCAACAGACCAGAGTCTGTCAGACTGTCACAGACTGTCACTCTGTGAGGTCTATGCAGACCTGTAACAATTCCAGCAGAGGAATTGCAGCTTTTTGAAATGCACCAAGTCCTCCCACCACACCCTCAGGTCCCGATGGAAAACTTACTTCTCTCTGATGGGGTCGTAAAACACGGCTGAGGACAGGATCCACCACAACATGGACAGGTGCTTTGTCCCTGCAGGAGGCAGTCAAGGAAGGAGACTGTGATTAATGAACTCAGCATAGCGTATGTTTAGGTTCTGTTAAATCTCACTGTTATCCTGAGGACTCCCCTTTGGTACAGGGCTAGTAACTGCCAACAAGAAAGTGAAAAATGGACTAATTCAGTTTTGAGAATGAAGTCACAGAGGCCTGATCCACAGTCTAAACCATCAGTGAAACCATGTATGTGGGCTGTGGTTAAAACAAGGGCAGAATGTGGTTCAGAGACACAGTTAAAAAGTCATTATTGTTTTTCTTGTTTCGATAACAATATTGTAATTGCATTACTGGAGAGAGAAACCCCCTCCTCTGCCCATGAAGATCTAGCTGACAGCCCTTTTAAGTTATAACAGCAGCATAAAAGAAACTGCTTCAAAATTAAAACCATTAGGCAGCCTAACATTTGACTGTCAGTCATCTCCCTCTGCTTGTCCTTAGATGCTGATGTTCCCTGACTGACAGCTAAGCCACAGGATTTTCTAAACAGCTTCTCCATGTCTGCAGGCTCATTCCCTGCAACAGATTTAAATTTGTGATGTGTGGGAGATGAAACAGTCCACGGAAAAACACAAACAACCCTGCATGGGTACATTCTTTCTTTGATTGTTACCATAACTGAACCAATTCAGAGGCAGAACGCTTGGAACCAAACTTCCCTTGATGTTCAGACCCCAGCTCAAGCACGTTTGGGAGAAAAGCACGTAAACCTACACCTAGGAGGAGGTCAGAGCTGCAGCCATTCCTGCCAGGTGATGACTCACTTGTCTATTTTCAGCTGGTCATGGGCACTCAGCACCGGGGGCTCATACAGAACCAGAGCTCCTTCCTCAAAGGGGTCATGGAGAGGACTCCTCAGTCCCGCCCGTTTGATCCCCAGCGCGCGCAAGCCCAGGGGCCCTGAAAGCAAACAGAGGCACCACTCAGAGAACAGCATCTTCCTGGAAGAGAGCTGAGAGAGTTGGAACACGTCTAGGAACAGCGATTTAATTGGGTGCTGGGGTGGAGATGCACGCACCGCTGGTGCAGACAGCAAACCCAAGCAGGGCCGTTGTTTGGCAGCGCTCTGCCGGCGCACAGCGGGAAGCTCCGCGGCAGCAAAGAACGGAACGAAGGAACAGAGGCAAAGAGGGAGCAGTGGCACTGCTGCCCCAAAGGTGGTTGTTCTGGCTTTCTGAAAGCCAAGTAGGGCTCCGGAATGTGCACCTCAGCAGCTCAGTAAATACACTCCCACGCAGAGTATATACTGGATCAAATCCTCTTTCGGGATCACCTAACCCAGACTTAGCCGGAGCTGCGTCTCTGATGCAAGGTCAGGAATTGATCTTTAACAGTGATGAAGTTGTACAGTGCCATAGTTATCATCATACTGCCACTACCAACTCTCTAGAGTAGAATAATATTCTAATGTTATTTTCTCTCTGATGAGCAACTGTGGATGTTTGACGCTAGAACCAATTTCTGCGAAAAACAGAAACCAAGCTCGAGTCCCTTTTCCTATTACTGTATTTTGATGTCACAGTTTTGGAATGGAGATGAACACAAAAAGAACATAAGAACAAAAAGAAACCAAAACTCAGGCTCCCAGGATTGATTTTGCTTGGAAAAGATTCAGTCAGGGTCTATTTGCCCACTACTTGCTAAGGCTCCTTGCAAAACAGGAGTGTATCACGAACTGAGGCAGCAGCACACACACACACCAAGAAAAGAGCACACTGAACAGCCACACTTCCCAATAAAGAGAGGAAGATAACAGCCAGAGAAAGCAGCTTTCAGTTACAGTTCTGTTTCAGCCTCCTGACAAATCCGCTTTTCCACAAAGCTAACTCTGCCAAACTCTTCTGGGGCTTGTCATTCCATATTCAGTGTCTGCTTACAGACATATTTTTATAACTGAAGTTTGAGCGAAACTGGTTGATCTGCATTCGAGTTTTTCAGCTAGAGGGTGAAGGGGAAACAGGGGACACGAACAGGCCCGTTTGTTTCTGAGATCTTGTGTTTCACTGATTCAAACCAGCTGAGGCTTTGAACTTCAAAACTATCTCGTTTTGAAGATCACCTTGAGGCTCAACACACCAAGCCAAGCAGAAATAAAACTGGCACATACGATCTCTTTCACCTCAGCCTTCTGTCTGTTAGCATCACTATTTAAACGGTAAACCTTCGTGGCTTGGAATTCATCTTGCTTTTGTATTCGTGATGTGGTGTAAAATCTCCTGGCACAACATCAAATGCATAGCAGTAAGACTACAAAATCCAATTCTGAAATGTAGGATTATCCAAACTAAACACCAGTAAGAAATATGAAGACTTTGCTAATATGCCAGTATTTTTCTTTCAAAATTAAGTCAGGATTTCTGGAACACATGCATCAGTGCAAAAAATAATAATAATCCCCACAGATGTATTTGACAGGCCTAAGCATCATCTGTTTTACCCGAGTCAGCCAACACAGACAATCCTTAAACCTCCTCATCTTACCTTTATAATTTGGAATGGGGACTTTGAAGGGTTTGGACAAAATGCTGCGGATAAAAGCCTCCTAGGAATTCAGAAAGAAAACATATTTAAGAAGCCTGAAATCAGAGACTGCTCAAGAAGGCAAGTCCAGGACATTTTTCAAAAACTCAATTTTGCCAAGTGCTCAGAGTTCCTCTATTTAATCTATTCAAGCTTCAACTCCAACTATTTTCAAGAATATCCAAAAGGATGAAAGTCACAAATCAGCACTATTCCCTCCACCAACTCCACTTTTCAAAATGATTTTCCTTTGGGTTTTCTAATGCATGAAATTGAACTCCCATCTTCCTAAATCCACTGGCTTTATTCACTTCTTCAAAAGAGCTATAGCTTCCCCCTGCCTTGGTAATTCAGTCAGGCAACTCATTTCCTGTAAAGGAGCTGGGTTACCATTGCAAGAACATCCACACTGGATCAGCAAGCACCCAGCCAGTCCAGCATCTGGTCTCCAGCAGTGGAAGCTCAGAGAGAACCAGGCAAGCAGACAGCACTCGACCCACCTTGGGGGGAAAGTGACCCATGTCCCTGGGCACTATCCTTAAGCTGGGCCCCACAAAACTATCTCATTTAGGATTTCCACTACAGAAAGCTCCCCCACCACACCTCCTTCAACATTAAACGGCTGGAGCTGGCAAAAGACCTCTCCTAAAGACTCCGTGTGTGTGTGTGGCTTCCATAACAGCTCTGATTAAATGGAAGCCATGGAAGCACTTGGACTTCCTCGATGGATGAGCACCTGTGCCAGCAGCAACACCCACTCACTCACATGCTGAGTGCTGTCCAGGCAGTGGGGTCTGTTGGTCAGCGCGGCCAAGGGTTTTCGGAAAGGCGACCTGTAACACTCCCCGCTCTCCGTCTCAGCGCCGGCCTTCTGCCTCTTCCGAGCCTGGAAAACGGAACCGCAACAGAACAACTCTTTGGGGGCACGTGGCGAGACCAGAAGATGCATCCCTGTCACACTCAGTGAGCACCAAGCCAGGCAGCTGAGCAGACACAACCACCGCTCACCCCCGCTGCCAAAAAACGGAGCCAGCGGCACCACCAAGGTCGCTGCATGGCCCCAAAGTTTAAGCTGCGTGAGGCTTAAAATATTCTCTCAGCTAAGAAAACAAGAACCACTTGGTAACCTGTAAAAGGGCAGGCTTGTCCCCCAAAAAAGCAGAATTAAGAAAAGGGTTAATAGCGGAAAACAAACTACATGGGCGTCCCCAGAGGCTCCCGTGGCACCTGTTGTTGTGCAGGCGAAAGGCCTCACGTTGAAACCCACATTTCAAACACTTAGAAAGGCATGACAATAAACAAGTCATTGGTCTGTCTCCTGACTTAACAAAGCACTCTTCAGCTTGAGGCATGATTTCAACTACCTGCTGGCACAGAAAAATGGATTTGACACAGAAAACAACGAGGTGAGACTCTCTGACCTGACACAGCACATAATTGTAAATTAGGATTAGGGCTGGGACTGGTGTCATTATGAACGGTCAAACAAAGTGTCTCACAGATGATCGGTGAAACCGATCCTCCTGTGTCCTGTTACAAAAGACGTAACTTTCTGTTTTGTCTTAAACACTGACCTATTCCCAGTTACCCAGTCACCCACCCCCTCCACAAAGCACTGCGAAGAAGCTCTCCCGGGGGACCAGTATTTCCATAACCACGAGCATCCTCGGCACACAATGAAAACTCTCCCGCCAACCGCAGGCCTGGACACAAACTTTCAGCGCTGGTGGCGAGAGCAGCACAAAAGTGGGGGCCGATGCCCCGGAGCAGGGGGAGGATCCGGCCCCGGGGCGGGACCTGGGAGCGCCGCCCCGCCCCGCATCCCCCTGCCCACGGCTACCCCCCCCAAAAACCCCGCCGGGGGCCCCTCGCTCACCGCCGGGGGGTGCCAGTCCTCCTCCTCTTCCTCCTCGTCCTCGCCCGCCTTCCTCTTGGCCAGCTGGCTGGGGGCCAGGCTCCTCCTCTGGGACACAGGCACAACACAAGAGTGAAGGGCCGGGGGAACCTCGGTGCAGCCCTCCCCGGCCCGGTGCTCCCCCACACACACACATCACCCCCCCTTACCCACCATCTCCTCACGGATCCCAATGCCGGGTCCCGATCCCGATCCCGATCCCGGGTCCCGATCCCGGTCCCAGCCCGCGCGCGCCGCGCCGGTGGCGGGAAAAGCGCCGGGCCGGCCCCGCCCCACGGCAACAGGCGTGGCCAAGCGAGCGCCGACGCGCATCGATCCGCTCGGCGCTCTGCACAGGGAGACGGGGAGGGGAAGGGGGAAAGGAAAAGAAGGGAAAAACGAAAGGAAAGGGGGGAAGAGGGAAAAAGGGAGGGGGAAGGAAAAAAAAGGGAGAAGGAGGAAATAAGGGAGAAGGAAAAAAAAAAGGAGAAGAAAAAAAAGGGAGAAGAAAAAAAAAGGGAGAAGAAAAAAAAAGGGAGAAGGGAAAAGTGGGAGAAGGGAAAAAATGGGAGAAGGGAAAAAAGGGGAGAAGGAAAAAAAAGGGAGAAGGGAAAAAAATGGGAGAAGGGAAAAAGGGAGAAGGGAAAAAAGGGGAGAAGGGAAAAAAGGGGAGAAGGAAAGAAAAGGGGAGAAGGAAAGAAAAGGGGAGAAGGAAAAAAAAGGGGAGAAGGAAAAAAGGGAAGGAAAAAAGGGAGAAAGGAAAAAAGGAGGAAGGAGGAAAGAAAGGGGGAAAAGGAAAGGGGGAAGGAAAAGGAGGAAGACTCAGTGGCTCAGGCGCTGTCAGGGAGTTGGGTGCCATCTCCACACAAAGGTGTGAAGATGGACTTGGGCTGCAAAATGAAGCAAGTTGGACACTGGATTCGAAGGCAGACCCTCAGGGCTGCAGTGATTCCTGGCAGCAGGAATTACAGCACTGGATGTTGTGACAGGAACAGGCAGGGTACCCTTGGCCCTGAGGAAAGAGGAGAGGGAGGTGCCATTCCTTCACCATTATATCTCAATTTGGCACAACCTTAGGTTATTTTGCAAGCTCACCTGTTCTGACAGGTTTGACATCATATATTGGGCATGACATTATGGCTGACCCTAAATCTCTGATGACGGGCCAGCATCGTTTTCTGCACTCATGGAACAAAAAGAAAATCCCTTTGGTACACCCTAAAGGGCATTGTGGGGGTTTAGGGTGAAAAGCAGGCTCAGGGTAGCAGCAATTTCAGCGTAGATTTGTTTTCCATCGAAGAGAAGGGCATGCTAGTCCTCAGGAAAGAGCAGGGCTGTTGCTGTTCCACGGATCTCAGCTGACATGACAAATGAGGACTGGCGCTCACCAAGCAGTTTAAAGGACACCCATTTTACAGGGTGCAAACCCACGGTGTTTTGAAGACACACAGCTAAATTACCCTTCTGGCTACACAGGGAAAACCCCAAACAACTCCATGAAATAAGCCATGTCCTCTGACACGTGCAGTTAACCCCTCTGTTGTCAGGCAGGGAAGGCATCCCCAAGATGAGATTCCCACGCTGCTTGTGATACCAAAAAGTGCTGCTCAAGGGCCTTGGAGCACGTCCTCTGGAGGGCATGGATTGCTGGAGGCCTCAGCAGCTGACAGTGTCAATAGATCCTGGGAAACCTGACAGATTTCCAGGTGTTCTCTGTGGAGGACCCGAGGACAGGCAGGGAGTGAAAGGTGGCCTTCAGTGCAGTCCAGCAGAGCAAACATATGCAAAGCCCTCCAGCTCTTGAAAGGACTTTGTCTTTCCTTGCTTTCCCCAAAGGAGAAAGGGAATGATGGATTTCCCCTCTGTTGGTTGTTTCACTGGCAAACCTGGGGGGTAAATTAAATGCAAAAAACTTACTTTGGCCACCTGCAGTTGCACTGCTGACCTTCTTAAACATCAAGAAAGCCCCTTTGGCAGTATCCACACCTCAGTTACATCCTGTTTTACTATTCAGTTTATCAAACATCTCCATTAATAAAGTTATGCACCTTTAAAACATAAAATAGGATGGATATAAGACAAATTCTTGCTTCTGTAGGACTTGAGGTGTAAGTGGGCATAGATTCCCTGCAGCCATTTTTACACCCCCTGAATATCTAGGACCTTAACTTTACTTTTTCCCCCTGTCTTTTTCAAGTCCAACCATTTGCCAGCATTTTACTCCTGAAGTGCTTTCAGAGCTCCATGATGAATGTTAGATGCTGCAATTACTGGCTCACTGGGCAGAGAGTGGTTCTATAGGAAGGTAATTGGCTATTTTTCCTGTCATGAATAATATTCACATTAATAGCCTCTCTCACCATGGCTTTGAGAGCAGTTCTGCTCTGTGCTTTTTTTCCCTATGATGGGAACAGACACATTTTCTGGCCCAGGCCAGGCTGGGTCAATAATGAAGGGAAGGGGAGGAAAAATTCCTGCTCTGTGTAGAGCAGCAGGAAAGATCTTAGTTATCTTACACCCAACACAGAACTGCTGAGGACTCTGTCCCTCAGCAGCTTTTCCTCTCAGGTCCCAGAGGGAAATTTGGGGTGATGCCAATGTCTGAGTGCAGCCAGCCCTGCTCAAGACTCAACCACACTACAAGCCTGGGGCAAGGTGGACGTGCATGAGGGGCATCCCCTTTCTTCCCAAAGAAACTTGCTAAGAGTTAGAGCAGAAAGAAATATTTTGTTCTTTTTTGTTCAGAAGGGAAGACCAGAGGGCTTGCCTCAAGCTCCAGGAGCAGCCAGGGACAAGATTAGCCCTTGCCAGTGCTGTGGGTCCCAGCGCAGACACTGCTCAGTGTTCTTTTCCACTCTTCTCTCCAAACTAGCACCTTCAGGCAGAGGTTAAGTCCTCCCTCTCCCCCCCCCCCCCCCTCTAATTACACAATTTACTCCTTTTCTACTGTAATCAGCTCCCATTTATACAGCCCTGAGAGATCGCTGGATAATCACCATGGGGAATAATCCTGTCATTTCCCTTGCTGCCTCTGCAGGATATTGAGTCCCACCAGTACAAGGAAGGAGAGGGGAGGATGCCAAACAGTCTTCCTCGGGGACTCTATAGGATTAGCTGAAAAAAAACAGTCCAAAAATATTTAAAAATCATCAAACAGAGCCTATTTTCCAGTCACTAGCATGGTCTGAGCTCATGGCACTCCCTCCACATGTCAGTGGGACCACAGCAGCTCTTCACTGACCTCCCTGAGTTGGGGGATCTACCTTCTTATACAACCTCCCTTGCCTTTTTTTTCTTTTTGAGGCTCCTTCCTTTTCTGTGGAGCACTGACCCTCTCCAGTTCCCCATGAAAACTTTTCAAAAACACGTTGGAGGAACTGAGGACTCTTACCCAGCTCTTCACAGGCAGGAACAAGGACAGGTCCTACACAAGAGTACTTCTGACCTTCATAGCAGGCAGAAAACAGCATGAGGGAGAGATAATGCAAGAAAATATCTCCTAATGGAAGGACAGATCAGACCCTGTCTAACAGCTCCAGCCATTCTGCATTGAAAAGAGGAGATGAGCATCTGTAATTATGATCAGAAGGGCAGAGCTACAGTTTTAACAAAATCTAGCAGTGCCACCTGCATCTTCTCGGGTGAAGCTCTGAAGAGACCAGGACTGCAGGATGAAGATCCCTGTGCACCAGCATAGTTTGACCATATTCAGCTGAGAAAGTAATTAAATATCCTTCCAGTTAATTCCTTTGCAAACCACGAGAGGGAAACTGAGTATGATCTTAACAAGTTACTGTCAGCTGGAGTTGTGATCCCGTTTCATCACCACCAGAGACAGCTCATCTGCCCTTCCGAAAAAGCCACTTCGTGGGAGAGGAAACATTAAGTGCTTTTAAAAAAAATATTAACTCCGGGGAGAAAAACGTTTTTCCTTTCTGGAGGTCAGATGCCGTTCTGCCCGCAGCCAGGTCGTGTGCTGGGAGGAGGCAGAAGTTCAGCAGCGAGGATCCCAGCGCTGCTGCTGCTGCTTTCTGGCACGTTTTGCATGATTATCAACCATAAGAAAACAAGAGTCATGAGCCCAGAGTGATGCGAGTCAGGCGGCTGAGACACATCCCACCCCCGGCCGTCTGGCTGCTGAGCTGCCACAGCGCTGGAGCGCTTAGAGCTGTGCCTGGAGGCGAAGGGCTGACCCACACCCCACCCAGCCATCCCTGCAGGACCCTCCTGCGCACCTTGAGCCCCCTGTAGCCTGAACCCCACTCTGTGGTGAGCACACCTGGACATGCAGAACAGCTCTTGTGTCCCACAGCAGAGTGGCACGGCTGGGTAACCACTGCCTGTGCTGGTCATGGAGCCCTCTGCCACCACGCATTACACACCAGATTTCACAGTTTTCTTTTGATTCGTTTATGCCTGCTGTCCCTTTGGCTCCAGTGGTACCTAATCCTTATTACTGTTAGAAGAGGAAAAAAATAAATCTTTGCTAATCTTGTTTATTTACAAAGAAAAAAAAAAAAAGACCCACAAAATCCTATTTCCTTAAAGCAGCAAAGGCAGAAGAACCGGGGGGAAAAAAAAAAATCTGCACAGCCACTGCTCCACTGAGTCTCTGAGCCCCAGAAATGCTACACACTCACTTTCTTCCTCATGGGTTTGGTGCATTCCTCTCCAAATACCTCCTCTGCCCTGTGCTGGAAATCAAGCTGCCCTCCCCTCAAGGGCAGAGACCTCCACTCTGTGCTGAGCCACAGGCCATGGCCTGAAAGCCATGAGGTGGAGAAGAGACCTGTGGCAAAGAAACAGGAGGAGGATCAAAGAGGGGTGGCCTCTGGGTAATGCAGAAACGTCCTCCAGAGACAAAACCCTGGGCTTTCTCCTTCTACGTTGTTGCTGCATCCAGCATTAATCACAGTCTCTGGCACTAATTTGACATTAATCAGCTGATTCCTCCACAGGCTCGTGGTGCTGACTGAAGAGCACCTGTAAATGGAAAAGTAAATGTAAATGTAAAGCTCACCCACCAATCTGGGTTTAGCATCACTCACCTACAAAAAATTACCCCTTATTCTGAGAAAAACCTGCAAAAGCAGCTTGAGTGCTTCAGGCATTTCACACTCCATGGGTCTGCTGTTTGCTTTCTGGGAGCCAGCCCTTCACTCAAGAGGAAGGCTGTCCCCCACAGGGTGTTTTCCCCTGCACCACCTTTGCATCTAATTTATTTTTTTTGCCAAAATGTTTTTAAACATGCATAAGTCTGACT